AAACACCTGGACGTCTACGTAGACAAGGATATAGAACGGAGTCTGGCCAACACAAACGAAGAACGAGGGGTCTGCAGAGAATGGAAAGAACTGCAAGTCAGCTAGCGTAGCACGCAGCGTGTCGTGCTACTCACGGGGCGCCTGTCGCAGCCCGTAGACCTGGCGCCGAATGAGCCACTGGGTCCCAGGAGGGAAGGTACCGGTGAAGCCCTGTGGACAGCGCAGGTAGACCTGCTTGTGTAGACTTCCCTGAAGAAAGCAATGGAGAATTCGGGGGAGTGGAGCTCGTATTCACACAATGCTATTACGCTTAGCAGCGCCAGAAGAGTAGTCATCTTCGGGGTCGGGGCGAAGGTCTGAAAGAAGTCTTCCCCCTCGCGGTGACTGAAGCCTCTAACCCGTAGCGCGCCTTGAACACAGGCGGCTCTCCATGTGGGCGCTTCACCTTGAAGAGCCACCGACCATCGACTTCGTTCACCCCAGGCGGGAGAACTGCATCGATGTAGGTGCCGGTGGATCTCTAAGATGCCATCTCCGACTCCATGGCAGCTACAAGAAGAGAAGTGGGAGTTGGAATAGAAGAGAAGGAGATACGAGAAGGGAGATAGTCCCCTCTACGATAGGATTCAGTATGTAGCACAACTACCAAGCCTACAATTATATAAAAAAATATATAATTTAACACACCCCCTAGGCTTGGTAGTGGCAAGCCCATCCCATCCCCAGCACCCCCACATCCTTGCACCCCCATTCTCTGTAGCAGCAGTGGCGTCGACCAGCCGGTCGACCCCTCGGCAATCGAGGTGGAGACGTCTACGGCGGGTCGCAGCGGCGGCGGCGGCATCGGCGACTTCGGCGGCGGCGACATCGGCGACTGCGGCAGCGGCGGGGCGCGCAGCACCTGCGGCGGCGGCGGCGGCGGCGAGACACCTGGCGACGGCAGCTGCGGGACCCAAGGCAACGGCGACGCGCTCAACATGTGATGACGAGGGGGAGGATGTCACGAGGTCACCAGCAGCTGTGGCGGAGAGGAAGGGAAAGGCAGAGGAGGGGAAGGGGGAAGGGGTGGGGGGCGGATCGTCAGCGCGGCGCCATGGCTAACCCGGCTCTTACTGGCGTGTGGGCAGGCTGGATGCAGCTAATACAGTGCGCAACCAGCTGCTTGTGCGCTAGTGCTTTGACGCCGCCGCGACAACACGACGACGCCGCCAGGGCTGGACATCGACGCCACGACAGCGAGACGAGGCTGCCACGGCAGAAACGTCGAGACCACCACGGTAGCACGACGGCGCCGTTACGGCAGCACGACATAGCCGTGGCGGCGGCGCAGAAAGCACAGGAGCGAGGAGCGGAATTTGCGGAAGCGTGATGAGCAGGCCTGAGGAGACGAACCTGCTCTGAAACCATGTTAGAATGAGCAGAATCACTAGAAACAAGTGAGAACGATGAAGATATAGGGTTGGAGTTGTACCCCATATGAACACATATCTATATAGCCTTTAATTTTTGTATATAGACATATGTATAAGTTGACAGGTACATGATAGTTTTGTGCTGTGTTATACTCCCTAAGAGCATTTACCTATCTGGTCTTTAATAATATATGCATATATGTTTGATACACACTACTCCACCTATCGCTCACTACCCTTGCAGGTTGGCCGCCAATCCAACCTCGCTTGATCCAACTTCATATGAACAATTGCTGACTTTGCATGCGGTTCTCATAAACTTATGAGTCTAGGTTCCTAAAGTTAGGACACTAGCTTAGCTAGGATACAAGGAATGCCGCCATGGAATGGCGCCATGGAATGGCGTGAGGAGAATAGATCTAGGAGCGGGGGAGAGAATGTCGAGAAAGAAGGGGGGCGATTAGGAAGAGAGAGGAGTACAAGGAGAGGATTGTACCCTCTATAGGAAGGTTCAGTTACTACTATCAAGTTTATCAATTATATATAACTTATATAATCTTGACACACCCCTTAGGCTTGGTAGTCACACACCCACCCAACACACCATACACATACACACACCCTAGCACCCCAATACTCAGCAACAGCCATGGCCATTCCAGCATGGCCAACCTCACGGCGCGAGAGGCGGTGCGCGGGGACACCGTCAGCATCGAGTGCGGCATCAACAGCGGCAGCTGCGGCGACGTGCGGCGGGAACGCCCAGCGGCATCAGCGGCGGCGGCGGCGGCTTCGACGACGGCAGTCGGCGGCGGTGCAGGGCTCGCAGTACTCGGCGGCGTGGCCGGGTTCCGCGACGGTGGGACGGCCGGTGCAAGGCGTGCTGGCCAGCGCTAAGGCCGAGCACTGGCCGCATGTCGCCACAGCCGCACGTCGACGGTTGCGGCGGTACGACGCGACTGGGACGACGTCAGCGCAATGCCACGGTTGCGCGTCGAAACGGCAGCGGCATGACGGTGCAGCCGGCGACAAGACGCCGCCGCCACAGCGTGACGCGGCTGCGGCCGCCATGGCAGCGTGAGGAATAGGAGAGGAAAGTGCGGCGGAAGCGTGAGGAGCAGGCCCGCTAGGAGCGGACGGCTCTGATACCATCTCAGAAACTTATGAGTCTAGGTTCCTAAAGTTACGACACTAGCTTAGCTAGGATACAAGGAATGCCGCCATAGAATGGCGTGAGGAAAATAGATCAAGGAGCGGGGGAGAGAATATCGAGAAAGAAGGGGGGCGATTAGGAAGAGAGAGGAGTACAAGGAGGGGATTGTACCCTTTACAGGAAGGTTCAGTAACTACTATCAAGCCTATCAATTATATATAACATATATAATCTTGACAGCGGTATCCGCATACATATTTTTTATCAGCTCATTTCGTAGTGTTTGCTTTATTTGCACGTGTAACATAGGGTTGATTTCACTAATGTGTTTGTGTCGCTGGTAACATTTTTCGCCTTGGGTTTGAAGTCCCAAATATTTTCGCCTGGCTGGTCGTCAAAATTTCGCCTGTTTCCCGCCTTTCTTGGGGGGCTTGACGCGCTTGTGTCGGACAGCCTTGTCGCGTTTCTTAGTATTAGATGCGCCCTGACTGGTACTAACAAGTGTGCGTGCACTGTAGGCCATTTAGAACAATGAGTATAGAATACAATGGATATGATATTGGAATATTGGAAACATGTCTCCAATAATAAATTTGCTTGTAAGGCCTCTCTAAAGCTTCGATTTTTGTTTTGTAGGTTACATTTCTCGGTCCCCTCTACTGTCTTATCATTTATTCATTGAAATATCATGTTGGACTGCGTGACCCATGCCCATGTTCAAGGGAGATTCTTTCCTTGCGCGTGCCAATGTTCCACGGTCTTTCTTTGCACTGTACGGCTATTTCCGAAAGTTGCCGTGGGCATTTCTTGCGTGTAAGACTTTGTCTTACACAGTGACGTGGCTCTCCTCTAAATTGGGAAGTAAAACGTTTGACCCAGACTGGCCATTGGTTGAAGCTGTGGCATGATATCTCTGCTAGGCTCGGTGTCGAGTTGGCACGCTCGTTTGGGCGCAAACCAGATGTCTTGGCCCGGTGATAGGAGAGAGCGCACCAGGGCCTATTTTCCAAGGGTTGTTGCCCTGAATTTGGTTCAAATAAAAAGTAGTTTTCCAGATGGCCCCACAAATTAAGGGTTGTATTTTGATGAACCCGGGGGATTGAGAGTTTATGCAGAGTATAACCCTTGGGATTCAGGGTATATTTGTTTCCTACCCTGAGTGTACTACTAGTGCTGGTAGGGCTACAGGGGGGATCTCCTTAAGAGGAACAACTCCCTTAGAAGATTTTCGTTGTTCTCCCCTCACAGCAGGTACTCACACCAACTGACTGAGGGGAGATAACTCCCTTCAAAAGGTTTTCGACCTTCTCCCCTCACAGCACGTTACTCACACCTTGTAATCACCAACAGAGGGGAGACAACTCCCTTAGTATATTTTCGTTCTTCTCCCCTCACAGCACGTTACTCACACCTCGTAGTCACCAACAGAGGGGAGACAACTCCCTTAGTAGTTTTCGTTCTTCTCCCCTCACAGCACGGTTCTCACACCTCGTAGTCACCAACAGAGGGGAGACAACTCCCTTAGTAGATTTTCGTTCTTCTCCCCTCACAGCACGTTACTCACACATCGTTGTCAAAATAGAGGGGAGACAACTTACTTAATGGATTTTCGTCATTCTCCCCTTACAGCCCCGTGCACGTTACTCACGCCCTTTTCGTCTTGTCCATACATCTCCTGGTAGATTCTAACCGTGGCAGTGAAAAGGGTACTGTGCAAACGAACCCTATTGATTAAGAGTTGCCTTCCTATGGACCCTGAACATTAAGGGTAAACTTTCGAGAATCCCGATTTTTAAGGGTGACTAAAAACCAAAAGGTAGCCCTTGAGCGCACATTACCCCAGAGCTCGTTATCATTGCATACCAATGTCTATTGCATGAGCTGGCTTCCGAACCAGGAGATGTTTTCCTTGATATATTTCAACTAGAGGCCACGAGTCGCGAAGAGGCAAAAGCACCCAACCGGAGAGCGACAAATAAGGCGGCCGCACATGCCGTCGTGCCCGGAAAAGTTTCCCTCCTCGTTGGTCCTTTCCAGCACTATCCGTGCTGGCACAGGGAATCCTCCTAGTGGCAGGCGCACAGCGCGTGTGTGCTGAAGAACACTGTTCCGTGAGGGGCAGCTCCTGATCACTCATTGGCCTGAATTCCTCAAGATTTGTCATGAGCGGGCCATTGGACTCCACCCCCAGAGAGGTCCGGGCAGCTCGGGCGAACTAGAGCCAAGCCCTGCTGATGCTGATCTTGGCAGGGCATTCCCTGATTCGAGCGCGCGAGGACGAGATCAGGTGGGGCTCTGCGGCAGCCCTCCGTTTCGCTCAGCAGCTCTGTTTGGCTCAGCAGCCCTCCGTTTGGCTCACAGCAACCCTTGATTCCCACGCCAGGCCAATTGAAACTCTACATTCAAAGGCCCACAATCAGTCTACAATCTCCCAGGCACACTTCCACATTCCATTTCCTTGTTTTTTCCTTGCTGTATTTCTTGTCCTGGCAATTCCAGGCCTTAGCCAGCAGACAAGGTAGAGCCAGGCTGACCTGTCTCTAGAGTAGCTGAATTGCGTCAAAGAGCAAATTTAGTTCGTGGTTCCGAATTCCGGAGCCATGGCTGCACGACGAGCGCTGATTTTTTATCAAGGTTCGGAAGTCGAGCGACCACGGTGGCTCGACTGTTTACTGAAAGGGGAATTCTTCTCCCCGTGCACAAGTCACGTCTCGTTGAAGAAGAACGAGATGAATCTGTTCTGCATGGACTGCATGGAGGAGCTCTGCCAGCATTGCATGTCAAGCCATCAGTCTCACAAAATGCTCCAGGTACGTCTTCACCCTGGACTGCTCAGAATTTGCGTCTGGATTGCTGCATTTGCATTACATGACGAGGAATTTGAGCGGATTATCAATTTCGGAGAGTGCGAGGGTCAAATGTACTACATTTGGGGATGCAATTGATTTCTGAAATGAAACGAATTCAAACCTTTTTCTCGTTCTTCGTCGTTCAGATTCGGAGATACGTGTACCACGACGTTGTTCGGCTTCAAGACATCACGAAGCTGGTGGACTGTGGCGGAGTTCAGGTGCGTTGATTGGCTATCGACTTTCCCCAATTGGCGATAATTGCATCGATGAAATCAATGTCAGACTAACATTGATTGTCCCGTTGCTGTTCTGTATTCCAGGCCTACATTGTCAATGGCTCGCGAGTGGTGTTCCTGAACCAGAGGCCTCAGCCTCGGCCGACCAAGACGACCAATTCCTGCATAACTTGTGCTCGGATGCTCCAAGACGAATTCAGCTACTGCTGTCTGGGTTGCAAGGTACGTCTCCGAACGGCTCGGTTCAGATCAATTCCAGCAATTCTGCATTCCGTAGCTTAATTGTTAACAGTATTCCTCACTCGTGCTTCTGCGTCGCAGGTAGAGGCTCTCGAACGTCCCAACACGCCGTCGTCAGAACCGATAAAGAAGGGTTCGAATCAACTGATGACCAGCTTAGCTTCCTCAGATAGCGGATCGTTCACTTCTCAGGATGAGCCCTCGCCTATGAAGCACGAGGACTCCCGGAATTTCGCCGATTCCGATAGCGGATCATCGTTTGACGATAAGGAGACGACGTCCCACGATCTGGACTACTCTTCGGTTCCTAAGCGTTCGCGAAACTCGCGATCGTCGTGGAGCTCGTCGCCAAGGTCTGTCCTTCCTAGCTTGAACAGGCGGAAAAGTACACCACAGAGAGCGCCCGCCTATTGACGGATATCGTCAGCCTTTTGACGGACAGGGCCAGCCTATTGACGGAGATCGCCACTATCGGTCAAGCCCCGCAGTCTAACTGAGGCGCACCCGTATTTATCACCAACTCCTCCCATCCTGCTTCCCCTCACCCACAACCCTAATTATTCCCAACCTCCAACCGTCCCCTCCCCCTCCCACCCAAAAACCTATTTAGTCACAGCCGCTCCAACCCTCCCCTCTCTCCATCCTTGTACATCCACCAAACTACGGTAGCCATAAGGTCTCTTACGACGTCTTCAATGCAAATTGAAGTCCGCCTGGCGCAGTGCTGCTGCTCAGCGTTCGGTTCGGCCAGGATACTGCGTTCACTGTCCACGCCCTCCGGGATTCTGGGTTCCATGTGTCCACTCTGTTGTACTCTTCCGCCTGGGAATAAAATCCTTTTACTCCATCTGAAAATAAAACCCTAGCCTCCTAAACTTGCTGGAGAGGTGACGACGGGCAGAGGTACACTGTTCCAGATTCTTTAACCCCACGAATTGCAGGAAAAAACCAGGACAGTTTCATAAGCCAGTAAAAAATCCTGTTTCGTGGTCAGCTGTCATCGGACGTATACCCTGTCCACCTCCAAACATCCCAGCCCAGTACTCCATTCAAAATCACAATATGAGCTGCAGATTGTACAAGGTGGGCTCAGCCAACTGGGCTGCTATATGAGGTGTACAATGCCTCTGGCAACCATGACACGGTTGTTGACCTCCATTTGCTGCACGGGATCAAAGCCAAGGGGAGATACAATCATACAACCCAATGAGTTTCCCCACCATTGACAAGCGCTATTGTCGCAAGGAGACCACAACATGCTTTCACCCAAATTCCCTTCTCATAATTGCATGCGCCAGCTCATTCCTGTCATGGTGTACTCCAGTTCACCCCGAACAAGGTACAGTCGATAAAATTGACCCGAATCCGTATCCTTATTCCCATCGACAGCTCACCTGCAGCATGTCGTCAACTTCAGCCAGAGTGAAATGCTTTCCTGGCCACCGCCCATTCACCACCTCTACCAGCTCCTCCACTGAGCCGAGTCAACAGCCAAACATTACATCAACGAGTCGTCATCTCACCATCACCTCACCATCACCTCAACGCCAGCTCACCTCCATCATGGCGTCAACCTATGTGAAAGCTCTTCCCCGTCCATCTCCTACTGAACACCTCTACTAGCTCATGCACTGCCTTCAAAGATGACCGGCTCAATCTCCACAGCACATCGGCAGCTCACCTCCAGCATGACGTCAACTCCAGCCTGAGTGAACTGCTTCCCCGGCCACGTCCTGCTGATCACCTCTATCTGCTCATCCACTGCCTCTTGAGTCGACTCAACAGTCAAACATCACACCAATGAGTTATCATCTCACCATCATCTCACCATCATCTCACCATCATCTCACCATCATCTCACCATCATCTCACCATCACCTCACCATCATCTCACCATCATCTCACCATCATCTCACCATCACCTCACCATCATCTCACCATCATCTCACCATCATCTCACCAATGTCAGCTCACCTCCAGCATGGCGTCAACTTCAGCCTGAGTGAACTGCTTCCCCGGCCACCTCCTATTCACCACCTCCAAGAGCTCCTCCGCTGCTATCGACTCCACCCTCGCTGCCACCGCATGCTCACTGAACGCCAGCTGGAAGGCATCGAACCTACAAAGCGGAAGAGTTTATAGAGGGGACAGCAGGTGTGATGCGAAGTGAAGCTCTTCCCCAGCCATCTCCTGTTGACCACCTCTATCAGCTCCTCCACTGCTATTGACTCCACCCTCGCTGCCACCGCGTGCTCACTGAACGACAGCTGGAAGGCGTCAAACCTACGACGGGGAAGGGTTTATAGCGGGCAGCAGGTGTGATGTGTATGTATCTCTTCCCCAGCCACCGACTATTCACCACATCTGATAGCTCCTCCACTGCTATCGACTCCACCCTCGCCGCCACCGCGTGCTCACCAAAGGCCAGCTGGAAGGCATCGAACCTGACGAGGGGAAGGGATTATAGAGGGGCGACGGCTAGCACTGGAGCCGGGTTCGTTGACCCTTGCTGCCACTTGCTGCCACCACGTGCTTGCCGAATGCCAGATTTTGAGTTGACTGAAAAGCCGCTGGAAGGCACTGCGAGAGCCCCAAGAGGGAAAAAAATCCGTGCTGGAAAAGGAAAGAGGCGGGGAGGAAGGGGTGAACAGGGACAGCTATGTTAAGAATGGACTCATTGACATGAACATCGCGCACCCGACCCGACTCCACCCTTGCTGCCACCGCGTGCTCAGCGGTTTCGAAGAATGAAGGGAATGGGGTCTATTCATGAGGCGCCTCAAAAAGTATATTCTTGTGGCGCCTAAGAAATATATATCCTTGAGGTGCCTAAGAAATATATATTCTCGAGGCGCCTCAAAAAGGGAACGGAGTGCGGAATGAGTGCAATGGTCACATGGGCGAATTTGAGTGGTGAGGTGGAGAAGGCGGAAGAGATGCTGTAGCAGCTTTTTCCACTGGGAAAATCGAGAGACAGAAGCTGAAGGTAAGCTCTCTACTGGAGGCTCACCCTTCAGCAGGGAAGGACCCATCGGCAGCAGAGGCAGGTGCTGGATCGGATGGCCCCGACTGGCGTTTTGAGAGATGGCGAGAGGGGTGTGAGGGAAGAAGACGAGAATGGGAGCGCACCTTTCCGCAGTGAAGGACCCATCGGCAGCAGAGGCGGGTGCTGGATCGCCCAGACTGGACGAGGGACAAGGGGAGGGGTGGGAGGGAGGGAGGGGGGGGAAACGGGAAGGTGGGGCAATAGCGATGAAATGAATGATACAAAGAGTAAGAAATAATCGAACGTGTTCTTGAGGTTTGGGTGGGGATGTTGGGGGGGGGGGGGGGAAGAGAGAGAGGGAAAGGGAAGAAGAGGACGAGGGAGCTGGAGAAGGGAAAGAACACAAGTTATTGTACGGCTGTTCTGGCACACAATCACTCTCCTCCCTGCCTGCTCCATCACGCCAACAAACGAAGAATAAACTTACTTCGGTACCCCATCAGCAGGCGCCTCCTCCATCTCAATCTCCTCCACCTCCTCTCCTTCTTCTTCCTCCTCCTCCCCCATCCCTTCCACCTCCTCTTCCTCGCTCTCCTCCGTCTCTGCATCCGCCCGCGGCCTCTTTGCCTTGGACCTTGTCTTGCGTCCTCCTCCTCCTCGTCGCGTCCGAGCCCCTGCTGCCCCTGTTGCTGCTTCTGTGGCTGCAGTACCAGCACCATCAGCACCACCCTCTCCTGCGGTAGCAGCAGCAGCAGCAGCCGCCGTCGCCGCTGCTGCTGCGGCAGCCTCCTTGCGCTGCTGCTCCACGCGCTGCCTCTCCTCGTCCATCCGCTTGTCCGTCTCGTCCAACTCGCGATGGTAGAGGGCGAAGTCCAAGAGGCTTAAGGCTGCAGCTACGTCTGACTCCAATACCTGTAGGGGTTGATTGGAAAGGAGCGGAAGGAGGGGAATAACCATTTCGTTAGCTCAGCACCCCCTCTACCCACTGCCTGCAGCGGCAGCAGCTCCTGCCTCCTTGTGCTGCTGCTCCACCCGCTGCCGTTCGTCGTCCATCATCTTGTCCGTCTCGTCCAACTCGCGATGGTAAAGGGCGAAGTCCAACAGGCTCAGCGCTGCTGCCCCGTCCAACTCAAGCACCTGGTGAGGATAGATTGGGGAGGGTCACTTTCCAGTCGAGTCATGAGCCATCCGCTTGTCCGTCTCGTCCAACTCGCGATGGTAGAGGGGGAAGTCCAAGAGAGATAGCGCTGCTGCCACGTCAGACTCTAGAACCTGGTAGGAGGCAAGTCGGGAGGGGGTTCTGAGTCGAGTCAAGAATCAAAGTAAGCTCAGCGCCCCCTCCACCCGCTGCCTCTCCTCGTCCAGAGAGCGAGAGCGAGAGCGCTGCTACCACATCAGACTCTAGAACCTGTGGGGGTTGCACTGGGAAGAGGGCTTCTGAGTCGAGTCAAGAACCACAGTCAGCACCCCCTCCACCCACTGCCTCTCCTCATCCATCCACCTGTCTTGAGACGTCTCAAAACGAGATTACTAACACACGATCGAGTCATGTTATGACTCATGAGGCAACTCAAAAGACAGCTTAGCCCCCTTCCAACCCCACCTCTCACCGAAGCTTGAGCTTGGCATGCACTGTGGACAGCCGAATCCTGGTCTCACAGCTCACCCCACTGCCTCCAATCGAGCACACCGCATGCCAAACCATGGCAGGCACCACCCTTCACCACCCCCCACACCATGTTACCACTCTTCACCTCACCTCTCGCCGCAGCTTCAGCTTGGCATGCGCCGTGGACAGCCGAATCATAGTCTCCAGAGATCTGGCTGTGACTGGCAGCGTGCCCTGGTCCGCCTGGTGTGTGCAAGGGGGGGAGGGGGGAAACGAGAAGGGAAAGACAGGGATGGTTGAAGGGGACTCGGCGTGCTTTCCTCTGCATGGCGGAACGTGGTCCCCAGAGACCTGGCTGTCACTGGCAGTGTGCCTTGGTCCGCCAGAGGGGGAGGAGGGGGGGGGGGGATGTGTCGGGAAGTGAAGGAGAAAAACGGGTCATGGAACATGGAGTGCGATGGTGAGCTCAGTAAATGATGCCATGGATTTGCATCAAGCCATGCGCCAGGAGGCGGGTGAGTGGCTTCATCCAACCGCCATCCGCCACTCACCATACATGAACATACATGAACATACATGAACATACATGAACATACATGAAACATACATGAACATACATGAACATACATGAACATACATGAAACATACATGAACATACATGAACATACATGAACATACATGAACATACATGAACATACATGAAACATACATGAATATACATGAACATACATGAACATACATGAACATACATGAACATACATGAAACATACATGAACATACATGAACATACATGAACATACATGAAACATACATGAACATACATGAAACATACATGAACATACATGAACATACATGAACATACATGAACATACATGAACATACATGAACATACATGAAACATACATGAACATACATGAAACATACATGAACATGGATGGCACACTCTTTAAACTCGCCACTCACCCGCCTCCTGGCGTCCATGCCGTGTGCCATCACGCCCTCATGCCCCCGTGCCACATGCCCCATCCACCACGCATGCATGCTCACACCACCAAACACATCCCAACTCACCCGCCTCCTGGCATCCATGCCGTGAGCCCTCATCTCTGCATACGCCTGAGCTATCTTCTCCGCAGCCTGCAGGCACAGCAAGGGAGAAGAGAGATGAAGGGAGGCTAGGGAAGGGAAGAAGAGGTGAGGGGAGTGGGGTACTAACCAGCCTCCTTTGAGGCACCTCGAAATAGAGGAGGGGAGTGGGGGAGGGAGGTTCCTAAAAACAAACTTCCCCTTCATAGCCCAGTGCGAGGTCCCCATAGCCCAGTGCGAGGTCCCCATAGCCCAGTGCGAGGTCCCCATAGCCCAGTGCGAGGTCCCCATAGCCCAGTGCGAGGTCCCCATAGCCCAGTGCGAGGTCCCAATAGCCCAGTGCGAGGTCCCCGTAGCCCAACAACCAGAGTCCCCATGGTCGTGCACACCATGAACAAGAACCCCACACGTCTGAGTCGAATCAAATGTCACATTGAGTCAGGCTCAAAGGATTCCCCACAAGACAGAACCTCTTACCCGATTGGAAAGCACGGGAGTGCGGCCCCGGGCAAAGTGGACGAACTTCTTCAGAAACTTTAAAAACATTCTCCATGGCCCAACACGCACAAAGACCCCACCCCACAGCGAACAAACCCTCTTACCCGATTGGAGAGCACGGGGGTGCGGCCGCGGGCGAAGTGGAAGAACTTCTTCAGAAACCGTTTCTTAAGTATCTTTCTTATCGGCTCGCCAGCCTTCCTTTCCCCATGCAGTAAGCGGTCGTACTTAACTAAGTTCGCCGCCAAATCAGCTGCCCCACCACTGGCCCCTCCCCTCCCACTAATCCCACCCCCATCCCCACCTCCTCCTCTACCTCCGCTCCTTGTTCTAGGTCTGCTAGTGGCCGGATTGGCTTCATCTTCATCGTCCATTGCTGCAGAGAATGCATCTGGGCCGTCCGCATCTCCCCCCTCTCCCTCCTCCTCGTCCTCCTCTGCTTGCGCTGCTGCCATTGGCACGTCACCAGGGGCTAGTGCTGGGGGGGGGGCGGTTGGGGGAGGGAGGTGGGGGAGAGGAGCAAGAGGGGGAAGGGAGAGGAAAGAGGATTGCTCAATGCTCATGGTGTCACGGGATGTGAGAGCTGCCGCCGCCCTCCTCCTCTTCCTCCTCCTCATCCTTTTCCTCTGCATGTGGTGCTGCCATTGGCATGTCCCCTTGGGCTAGAGCTGGGAGGGGGGAAGGGAGAGGAAGAAAGAATGATCATGGTACTATGGGTGCTGCTGCCCTCCCCCTCTTCCCCCTCCTCGTCCTCCTCCTCTGCATGTCGTGCTGCCATCGCCATGTCCCCTGGGGCTAGAGCTGGGAGGGGGTGGGAGGGTCTGGGGAGGAACAAGACAGGGGAAGTGGGGGGAGGGGGGATCAATTTTGAGGCGCCTAAAAAACAGACCCCTTTGGGCTAGAGCTGGGAGGGAGTGGGTGGGTATGGGGAGCAAGGCAGGGGAAGAGGGGGGAGGGGGGGAGCTAGCTAACTCACTGCCATCACCTCCTGGCAGGCGGACAATGGTAGTGGCGCAATCTCAGCACGGCAGAGTGCAACCTCAGTTTCTTAGGAATTCCAAAAATCTTGCAGTGCAATCTCGGTTCTCGGCATGGCTCATGATTCGCGGTGCGGAGAGCCTTGAGGCATGAAATGTAGAGAGCGGTTAACTGTCATACAGAGGGCACGTGGAGCTTACTGCCATCGTCCCCAGGCAGTCTGTAGCGGTGCATTCTGAGCACGTTGTTGGCTGTGCTGGTGGCTTGAGTCTGCCTCAAGCGTATAGAGCCGTTAGCAATCATATAGAGAGTCAAAGAGAGCTTACTGCCATTATCCCCAGGCAGTCTGTAGCGGTCCATGCATGCGCGACTGGTGATTGCGTCTGCCTTATACTTAGAGGGTGGCTCGCAAGCAATCATGTAGAGAGTGTTTTGTTTTTTAGAATTCTAAGAAACAAAACACATCATAGAGAGTAAAAAGAGAGCTTACTGCCATCGTCCCGAGACAGGCGGTATCGGTGCATTCTGAGCACGTGATTGGCTATCCTGGTGTCCACGTCAGCATCCATCTGATCCACGAGGATGAAGAGCAGGTCGAAGCATAGAGTCAACGCAAGTCAAGGAGATCCACGGGGAACTCACTGCCATCGTCCCCAGGGAGTCTGTAGCGGTGCATCCTCAGCACGTGATTGGCTATCCTGGTGTCCACGTCAGCGTCCATCTGGTCCACGAGGATGAAGAGCAGGTCGAAGCGGGACAGCAGGGAGTCGGGCAGGCCGATGTTGCGCATGGGCGAGATGGAGTGGTCGTACTGGGGGGGGAGGAGGGGGGTGGGGATGGGGAGTAGGGAAGGGAGTATGGGGGCAGCAGAGCATGGGAAACACATGGGGAGAGCAGGGAGTCATTGAGGCCGATGTTGCGCATGGGGGAGATGGAGTGGTCGCACTGGCGGGGAGGGGTGGGGAGGGGTGGGGAAATAATAGCGGCAGAAGAGCACAGCATGAGCCACACATGTTGCGTATAGGGGGGGTTCGACGGGACTTAATTATTGGGGGGGGGGAGATTCCTGGGACAAGACGTTTCATAACTATTAGGGCAACAGAAAGCAGCACCCGACTTAATGAGTGGATGAGTCACGAGACACCTAGGAAACATTTTAAAGGCACACAAGAGACAAACAGGCGATTTCTGAGGCGTTCTGAAAATCGATGCACACACCTAAGAAGCAGGGAGTGACACCTAAGACACTTATCAAGAGTCACCCAGGCGCCACAACAAAAACACACAGGCAGGATTGCACAGAGGCGCGCGCGACGGTCGTTTCTCACCGATCCGTAGATTGGATTAGCGGCGGCAACAACGCTGCAGCGAGCGTTGAGAGATGCGTGGATTCCCGCCTTGGCTATGGTCACTGTCTGTTGCTCCATCACCTGGTGGGGGGATGGGGCGGAGGGAGGGAGCGCAGCAAGGGGGAAGGAAGAGGGCAATTGAGAGTGTTGTGTGACATTGTAACGAGGTGACTTTTGAGTCGACTCAAAAGTCACCTCGCAGCAAGGGGGAAGGAAGAGGGCAATTGAGGGTTCGAGCAGCTCATTGGTAGTGAGTGAGAACGTTGAGGGACGCATGAATTCCCGCCTTGGCTATGGTCACTGTCTGCTGCTCCATCACCTGGCAAGGGGATGCGGGAGAGGAGTGAGAGGATAATGACGGAGGGCGTAATAGTGTGCACCCTGACACTCAGGTTTCAAGTCAAAAGAGACAACACCCTCTCCTACATGCGGATAGACAGCATCGGGGGGGGTCGATTGCATGGGGGTAGATTGCATGGGGGTGGATTGCCCCTACTCACCTCATGCATAGCAACGAGGCCCGCGTCGCTCATCTTTTCAAACTCATCACTGCACACCACTCCCCTTGACCGACCCCAATGCACAGTGGCACACCGGCCAGCCAGCCAGGGGACTGTCAAGCTGACTGCCAAGGGCACGGGCAGACCGGTCAGATCAGTCTCACCTCATCTATGGCCACACGGTCCGCGTCACCCATCTTGCCAAACTCATCGATGCACACCACTCCCCCTGACTCGGGTCAAAGGAGACAACACCCTCTACTACAGGCAGGTAGACAGCATGCGGGTCGATTGCATGGGGGTAGACTGCTCCTACCCACCTCATGGATGGCCACGCGGTCGGCGTCGCTCATCTTGTCAAACTCGTCGATGCACACCACTCCCCTGTCTGCCAACACCATCGCCCCTGCTTCCAGCCTCCTCTCGCCTGGAGGAGAGACAAAAGAGAGCACAAGTGTAGAGGGGAGAGCACAGAGCATCACATCAGGGATAGCAGGGAGGAACTCATCGATGCACACACCACACCACACCACACCACTCCCCTGTCGACCAACACCATCGCCCCTGCTTCCAGCCTTCTCTCGCCTAAAGGAGAGACAAAAGAGAGAAACAGGGAGAAAAGAGCACCGTGCGACTAATTGATGAGTGGAGATGGCGAGGGGAGCAGCGTGCATAAAGGCTCTAAGCAGCTGAGACTTGGAAGCCACAAACCTTTTGACCGTCCTAACAGATCGACATCCAAGCTTCAGGCGCACCGCACCTGTCTCCTGGTCCGTGGCGACAGCAGTGGTCAGCCCAACTCCTGACGACCCCAACGGCCAGTGGTCCTGGCGGAGATGGCGAGGAGGTGTTGTCCGCAGTGGTCAGCCCAACTCCTGACAACCCCAACGGCCACTTCCCCCGAATAAATACGTAAGGCGGGACCAACCTCTGCCGCCATCTCTGACAGCAGTGGTCCTGGCGGAGATGGCGAGGAGGTGTTGTCAGCAGTGGTCAGTCCAACTCCGGCCGTTGGCGGAGATGGCGAGGGGAGCAGTGTGCTTCACTGCTCTCTCCTCAGCATAGCCCTACCTGCTGCCAGGTCATAGTCACAGGCTCACCGCAACCATTTCCTTGTCTCCCACCTGTCTCCTGGTCCGAGGTCACAGCCACGGTCAGCCCCACTCCTGACGACCCCCGGCCGTTGGTGGAAATGGCGAGGGGAGCAGTATGCATGTGTGTGATACCACTAGACCTTCGAACCAGCTTGTTATGAAAGCATAGACACACCTGTCTCCTGGTCCGTGGTGACAGCAGCGGTCAGCCCCACTCCCGACGATCCCCGCCCGCTCGCTAGTGGAGATGGCGAGGGGAGCAGTATGCATGTGTGTGATACCGCTAGACCTTCGAAACAGCTTGCTACGAAAGCACAGGCACACCTGTCTCCTGGTCCGTGGTGACAGCAGCGGTCAGCCCCACTCCCGACGATCCCCGCCCGCTCGCTAGTGGAGATGGCGAGGGGAGCAGTGTGCATGTGTGTGATACCGCTAGACCTCCGAAACAGCTTGCTACGAAAGCACAGGCACACCTGTCTCCTGGTCCGTGGTGACAGCAGCGGTCAGCCCCACTCCTGACGACCCCCCGCCCGTTGGTGGAGATGGCGAGGGGAGCAGCGTGCATGCCTGCTCCCTCCTCAGCATAGCCCTACCTGCTGCCGGATCATAGTCACAGGCTCACCGCCGCAACCATTATCTTATCTCCCACCTGTCTCCTGGTCCGTGGTGACAGCAGCGGTCAGCCCCACTCCCGACGATCCCCGCCCGCTCGCTAGTGGAGATGGCGAGGGGAGCAGTGTGCATGTGTGTGATACCGCTAGACCTCCGAAACAGCTTGCTACGAAAGCACAGGCACACCTGTCTCCTGGTCCGTGGTGACAGCAGCGGTCAGCCCCACTCCTGACGACCCCCCGCCCGTTGGTGGAGATGGCGAGGGGAGCAGCGTGCATGCCTGCTCCCTCCTCAGCATAGCCCTACCTGCTGCCGGATCATAGTCACAGGCTCACCGCCGCAACCATTATCTTATCTCCCACCTGTCTCCTGGTCCGTGGTGACAGCAGCGGTCAGCCCCACTCCTGAGGACCCCCGCCCATTGGTGGAGATGGCGAGGGGAGCAGCGTGCATGATGGCTCGCAGGAACTGCGACTTGGCCACCGACGGGTCGCCCATCATCAGCATGTTCACGTCGCTGCAGGGAGGGGGAAAGAGGGGCAAGGGACGAGGGGCAAGGGGCAAGGGACAAGGGGCAAGGGGCAGGGATTGGAGGATTGGACTTGGCGACCGACGGATCGCCCATCATCAGCACGTTCACGTCGCTGCAGGGAGGGGGGAAAGAGGTGCAAGGGAAGAGGGGCAAGGGGCAAGGGGCAATAGACAAGGGGCAAGGGGCAGGGATTGGAGGATTGGACTTGGCAACAGATGGATCGGCCATCATCAGCATGTTCACGTCGCTGCAGGGAGGGATGTGCATGCATGTGTGAGGGGGCAGGAAAAGAGGCAAGGGGGAAATGGGGCAGGTGGGGCGAGGAGGGGAGCAGCGTGCTTGATGGCTCTCAGCAGCTGGGACTTGGCGACAGAGGGGCTGCGATGAAGAGGGGCTGCCCATCATCAGCATGTTCACATCGCTGCAGCGAAGTAAAGGGCGGGGGGAGGTTGCGAAGGTGCTCTCAGGAGATGGCGAGGGAAGAGGGTGGGGGGGGGCGATGGGGGGGGGAGGAGTGGCGAGGGGGAGCAGCGTGCATGATGGCTTTCAGCAGCTGGGACTTGGCGAAAGAGAGGCTGCCCATCATCAGCATGGTCATGCAGCTGCAAAGGGACACAATACGCTACTCACCAACACCCACTCGCCCATACGAAAGATAACAGGCGCAAGCAACCCACCCTCTGATGCGCGTGCCATTGGGCAGTTGCAGCAGCAGCGCCAGGGCCTTCCCTGCCCTTCCTTCCCCAATGACCTCCCGCCTAGCAACAAACAGCAAGCACCCAGCTCACCCTCTGATGTGTGTGCCATTGGGCAGGTTCTTCTCCACCCCCCCCAGCAGCAGCAGTGCCAGGGCCTTCTTAACCCACGGGTGGCCACAGATAGACGGGGCCAGGGACTCCCCCACCACCCCCCATGCGTCCGATCTCGCTGCCAGCGCCCTCACTGCCCTCACGTCTGACGCTGTCATTTTGGGGGCCACTGCGTCTTTACTCAGTTGCATCACGTTGCAAGCCACTAGTACGGTCCTGGTAGGGGCAGAGGAGGGGGGGAATTGGGTGGGGAGATGGCGGGGCGAGACTAGTCGGGTGGGGTGGGTTGGGATGGAGTGAGTGAGGGGTGCCCGCAGATAGACGGAGCCAGCGACTCCCCCACCACCCCCCACGCGCCCGATCGTGCTGCCAGCGCCCTCACTGGCCTCATGTTGACGCTGTCATGGGGGGGCCACTGCTTCCTTGATTAGCTGTGTGACGTTGCAAGCCACTAGTACAGTCCTGGTTGGTTGGGGCACAGGAGGGGGGAATGCGATGCGGGGTTGGAATGGTGGCGAGACAGTGGGGTGGGGTGGGGTCCAATGAGTCAGGGGTGCCTGCAGATAGACGGAGCCAGCAACTCCCCCACCACAACCCATGCGTGTGCTCTTGAGGCAAGAGACCTCACAGCTCTTATGGACTGACCTCAACTGTCACTTTCATGACCCAGAATGACCCCTGAACCTCATCGAAACGTGCCACTGATGCTGCCAGTGGCGCACATGGGAGCAGCCTTATAAACGCCAACTACAGCCACCCTGTCCCCCGGCTTGCAGCAGTCCACCAGATCGTCCTCCAGCAGCACGTCCAGCGAGCGCGGCAGCTGCCCCCCAGGAGCCCAACAGACAACCCCTACCCCAGCTAACTGTCAACAACTGTTGATGACTCACACCTCCGGCCCCCTCAGAAGCCCACATTCCTCACCGGAACGTGCCGCTGATGCTGCCAGTGGCACGCATGGGAGCAGCCTTGTAGATCCCCACCACCGCCACCCTGTCCCCCGGCTTGCAACAGTCCACCAAGACATCCTCCAGCAGCACGTCCAGGGAGCGCGGCAGCTGCCGTGCACCGGCTCAAGGGACCTACCGCCAGCAACCCTCAGTTACCCACAACCCATACCCCCGAGATGACCCACAAGTGCTTACCGGAACGTGCCGCTGATGCTGCCAGTGGCGCGCATGGGAGCAGCCTTGTAGATCCCCACCACAGCCACTCGGTCCCCCGGCTTGCAGCAGTCCACCAGATCGTCCTCCAGCAGCACGTCTAGCGAGCGTGGCAGCTGCCCCGCAGGGGCGTTCTCGGGCATCTCCTGCATGGCCATGGCCTGGTGGTCACGGTACCGGCACAGACCGAACTCGGTCACCAGGATGTTGCCCTTATCATCCTGGCACAGGGAGAGGGAAGGGGGTTGCAGGGGCGGCGGCGGGCATGCAGAAACAAATGAGGATTCAGGAAGCAATTTCCGGGTTCAATGCTCAAAGCCCTCAGCAAGACTTCCAGCGAGCGCGGCAGCTGCCCCGCAGGGGCGTTCTCTGGCATCTCCTGCATGGCCATGGCCTGGTGGTCGCGGTAGCGGCACAGACAGAACTCGGTCACCAGGATGTTGCCCTTGTCGTCCTCGTGTGTGGAAAGTTGTTAGGAGGGGTATAAGAGGGGGTAGGGTGTTTTAAAGCATCTCCTGCATGGCCATGACCTGGTGGTCGCGGCACAGACCAAATCTAATGACTGTGTGATGTTGCCCTTGTCATTGTCAATCAGAACATTCCAGTCAAATCAGGATTTCACAATGTACACTCCGAGATTTCACAATGTACACTCCGAGATTTCACAATGTACACTCCGACTTAAATTTTCCAACACAAACAGTGACATCTCGACAACACAAAACGGGCCAACGTATTGTTGACTTGACTTGATTTTTTAGTCGACTCAAAAATCACCATGTTTCACAATGCGACAGTCTTGTTGACTTGACTTGCACCTGGCGAGGTAGCCTTCGCGCGTGGGCAGGCCAGTGAGCGCAGTGACATCGCGGGGTGAAGGCATCTGTGGCAGGGCAGTACAAGACCCGACCCTACTGCAACTTCCGCACATAAAGCGTACCTTGGTGGGGCAGATGGCGAGCGTGTGCATTGACATGTGACATTCAGCAGCAGCAACGGAGCGAGATGCACCTTTGTGGGGTAGATGGCGGGCGTGGGCAGGCCTGTGAGCGCAGTGACATCGCGGTACTCTCTAGAGGAGAAGGCGCCCGTGGCAGGGCAGTAGTGCACGCTGCGCACCACCTTGGGGCGCACAGAGGAGCCTGGAGCGGGAGGGGAGGGGGGGGGGGGGGCGGTGGGCGAGGAGGGAACATGTGTGCGGAAAAAGCATGAAGCAGAGATGCCTGTGCCTGGTCAAATGGCACACACAAGAATCATACTGGTAATCGCACACTTACACTTGGTTACGATGCCGTGCACGCAGACGAGCGAGTTGAGGAAGGGCGAGAGCAGCTCGCGCGGGGACAGCTGGTGGAAGCCGAAGGGGCCCTGGAACCCCACGCTCACCTCGCCGCTCACCACCGACTCCAGCAGGTGCTTGGGGTGTGCCATGCGCACTGCGTCTTCCACTGCGCTTACCAGCGCTGGGTAGAGTTCACCTGGGGTGCGGATCAATCTGTGGGAGGGAGGAAGAAAGGGGGGAGCGTTGGAATTGGAACCCCACGCCCACCTTGCCCCCCACCGTGACTCCAGCAGGTGCTTGGGGTGTGCCATGCGCACAGTGCACTGCATCCTCTGCTGCGCTCACTAGCGCAGGGTACAGCTCCCCTGGAATGCGGATCACCCTGTGCAGATGATACTGTGCGGATGAGTCGGGGGGTACATTATCTGCACCAATCACCCCAAGCAAGCCGGCATGCCAAGCCTGCGAACCATACCTGCGAGCGAGCTGTGGGTCGAAGGACCAAGGCTGCAAATGCAAACCGTACCTGCGGGCGAGCTGCGGGTGGACGGATCGGAGGCCGGAGAGGTCGATGAGGAGCCAGTAAAAAAGCACCTAACGACCGAGGCTGCAAACCCATTCTTGTGAGCGAGCTGCGGGTCAAAGGACCAAGACTGGCGTCCGTACCTGCGGGCTAGCTGCGGGTCGAAGGATCGAAGGTCGGAGAGGTCGATGAGGAGGCGGTGCTTGCCAGCGTCTACCATGGCGTTGATGCGCTGCATGTAGCGCGCCTTGGGGTTCTGCGGTTGAGAGGGAGAAGTATGGGAAGTGGATGGGAAGGGAAGAGGTAAGGGGTTGCGAAGACAGCTCAATGCGGTGCTTGCCGGCGTCCACCATGGCGTTTATGCGCTGCATGTAGCGCGCCTTGGGGTTCTGCGAGACGCCAAGAGAGTGTTGGGAGAGACAGGGCGGGTCGGGGGTGTTAGAAGCTGTCTCAAGGAGGTCGGGTCGGAGAGGTCCATGAGCAGGCGGTGCTGGCCGGCGTCTACTATGGCGTTAATGAGCTGCATGTACGCGCTTGGAGCCTTTGAAAGTGAGCAAGGGAAGGACAAGGAACGTCCTGTGACTGAAGATCGACGGCGGAGATTATACCCCGACTGTTAATTATATATTTTACAGATAAGAGTCCGGGGAATTTATAGAACTAACGCATAATGAGACGTTTCAGCACGAGTTGTATACACGCAACGACTCCGCACGTCGGGGTCCAGCAACGCCATGCACTGAAACTCACTGTGTCACGCCTCAGAACATCGTTGAACTGACGTAAACGACGGTAACCATTCCGCACCTCTGGGCCGAGGAACTCCATGAACGTAAACGATCCATGAGACATCTTATAACGGGTATCGTTTCACCAGGACGCACCTCGGGGTCGAGGAACTCCATGAACGTGCGCTTGTGCGCGAGAAGCGACTCCTGGTTCAAATCCGCCATGGCCGCTCAATGTATTTGACTCAGATTACGCTGTGGAAAAAACGCCGACGCCAAAGTCGAGGGCAAGATTCAAAACGTCAAATATCAGCTGTCAGATTCTAAACGTCGGCTGTCGAATAATTGATATCAGATGTCAAATGCTTGATATTGGCTGTCAGAACGAGTCGTCGAAGATTGTTGTCAAAACTATGCTGCCCGAGTTATCTTGCTTTAGTGCACGAATCACTAACTCTATTGGCAATGGCTGCCTCCAGATTGCTCGTATGACTGCAAGTATGGTAACCAGCAAGGGAGTGTCATCAAAACGTGTCTTTCTTCAGCGCCTAATTGCAGAAGAAGATTAAAGGGGGAGGTCTCTCACAGACGATGAACGCGCTGCGGTGTGCGACAATGGCAGTGTGCGACAATGGCCGTATGCCTGACGGGAGCAGCGTATCTGCCAGCACAGATCGGGGCTTGAACTAGATTGCAAGTAGCCGTTTGATTTGAATTGAAATCGGGTTGACAGAGGCCTCGAGCAGGAGAGCCTGAACCAGCGAATAGTCTGGATAAAGTCAGACTACATTTATCAACGAGAATACAGAGGACTATGGAAACTTGATTTCGGAACAAAAATTCCCCGCTATTCTTAACAAAACACGCCTCTTCCAAATCAACCGCTCCTTATGTGAAATCAATCAGTCAAATATATGATAGGTGCTTTTAATTTTGCTAGGTCGCATTCCTAGTGTTCTCTTACTTTTACGTTATCAAGTTTCCTCCTGTCCCTCGTTTGAAGCGCGTGAGCATTTAGAGGGGCTGGGCAATTGTGGTCCCAGGCAGCTGACTCTTCTGGCCAAGAATTGAGGACGAGGGAACAGTTCGCCGCCGCTCGCGCCTCCCTGACAGCCGTTGCATCCCAATTCCAAGCTCGACCAATCCCAGGCGTACGATATGCACGCCAGTCTCAAGCGACCTTACATGTGTCGCAACCGAACTGAAACGAGGAGCACCCGTTTGCTTCTTGGCAATCCCCAAGAAACCAGCTCCCTCGGGAATCTCCAGACTCTTTCCTTATCCAACAGGCGACCAACCTTATCCAAATTTCGTCCTCAGTCAGGATCGCTCCCTACTGAAACAGCCCGTTTCTCTTGTTTTCGTGCCAGATTTCCTCCATTTCTGCTCCGTTCGAACGTATTGCGCGTCATTTTCTTCGTGGCTGCTTGGTCAAACCTTGTCGTAGCCATGGATCAGGACCAAGCGCTGCGGCGACTGCAGGTTTACGGGCGACATATCGCACCCGCCTATTCGACCCCTCCAGAAACCACCGACAACGAGGCTGTTTATAGCGAATCCCAGCTGAACTTTCAACCGTGCAGCAGCAGCAGCAATAGCAGCGTGAATGGCGGTGCGACCGGCGTGTACGCGTCGGCAACGGGGAAACCGTCTAAGTACGCGTTAATGCACGGCGCGGTTTCAAGCGCGCCCGTCGCGTGGCAGCCAGGTCGCATCGAAGGTCCTCCGCTTCAAGACGTGCTCTACGAGACGGCCGTCGGCGAGGGTATAGCGAAGGTACTTCTATCTTATTTCTATCTTACTTCTATCGGGGATGGATCGTCGAGATGCCTGTAGTTGGTGCCTGCGCATTCCTAATCGAGCATTGTTGAGCTTATGCCTGCGCATACCTGTGCTTGATACGGAATGCGCAACGGAATGCACAACGGAATACCCGTTGCGCATACCTGTGCTTGGGAAGCCCATTGAAATTCCTCTCTGCTCTACTTATCACGGCGATGACTTGAGGTAATCTTGTGTCGTCCCCTCCTCCTAACCTTCATCCATGCTTGCGCACACGCAATCCTGGCCGTCAGATCACGATCAACCGGCCGGAGAGGAGGAACGCGTTCCGACCAGAGACGGTGAAGGAGCTGAAGCGCGCGTTCGACGCTGCGAGGGACGACGTGACCGTTGGAGTGATCATCTTCACAGGGAAGGTGCGAGAAGGACGCAGACGGTGAGGTTGAAGCACAAAGTGAGCGTCAGACACAAGGTGAGCGTCAGACACAAGGTGAGCGTCGGACACAAGGTGAGCGTCAGACACAAGGTGAGCGTCAGACACAAGGTGAGCGTCAGACACAAGGTGAGGGTCAGACACAAGGTGAGGGTCAGACACAAGGTGAGCGTCAGACACAAGGTGAGCGTCAGACACAAGGTGAGCGTCTGACACAAGGTGAGCGTCTGACACAAGGTGAGCGTCAGACACAAGGTGAGCGTCAGACACAAGGTGAGCGTCAGACACAAGGTGAGCATCAGACACAAGGTGAGCGTCAGACACAAGGTGAGCGTCAGACACAAGGTGAGCGTCAAACACAAGGTGAGCGTCAGACGCAAGGTGAGCGTCGGACACAAGGTGAGCGTCAGACACAAGGTGAGCGTCGGACACAAGGTGAGCGTCAGACACAAGGTGAGCGTCGGACACAAGGTGAGCGTCAGACACAAGGTGAGCATCGGACACAAGGTGAGCGTCAGACACAAGGTGAGCGTCAGACACAAGGTGTGCGTCAGACACAAGGTGAGCGTCGGACACAAGGTGAGCGTTGGACACAAGGTGAGCGTCAGACACAAGGTGAGCGTCAGACACAAGGTGAGCGTCAGACACAAGGTGAGCGTCAGACACAAGGTGAGCATCAGACACAAGGTGAGCGTCAGACACAAGGTGAGCGTCAGACACAAGGTGTGCGTCAGACACAAGGTGAGCATCAGACACAAGGTGAGCGTCTGACACAAGGTGAGCGTCAGACACAAGGTGAGCGTCAGACACAAGGTGAGCATCAGACACAAGGTGAGCGTCAGACACAAGGTGAGCGTCAAACACAAGGTGAGCGTCAGACACAAGGTGAGCATCGGACACAAGGTGAGCGTCAGACACAAGGTGAGCGTCAGACACAAGGTGAGCGTCAAACACAAGGTGAGCGTCAGACACAAGGTGAGCGTCGGACACAAGGTGAGCGTCAGACACAAGGTGAGCGTCGGACACAAGGTGAGCGTCAGACACAAGGTGAGCGTCGGACACAAGGTGAGCGTCAGACACAAGGTGAGCGTCAGACACAAGGTGAGCATCAGACACAAGGTGAGCGTCAGACACAAGGTGAGCGTCAGACACAAGGTGAGCGTCAAACACAAGGTGAGCGTCAGACACAAGGTGAGCGTCGGACACAAGGTGAGCGTCAGACACAAGGTGAGCGTCGGACACAAGGTGAGCGTCAGACACAAGGTGAGCGTCGGACACAAGGTGAGCGTCAGACACAAGGTGAGCGTCAGACACAAGGTGAGCATCAGACACAAGGTGAGCGTCAGACACAAGGTGAGCGTCAGACACAAGGTGAGCGTCGGACACAAGGTGAGGGTCAGACACAAGGTGAGCGTCTGACACAAGGTGAGCGTCAGACACAAGGTGAGCGTCAGACACAAGGTGAGCATCAGACACAAGGTGAGCGTCAGACACAAGGTGAGCGTCAGACACAAGGTGAGCGTCAGACACAAGGTGAGCGTCTGATGCAAGGGGAGTGAGTGCCTGATGCAAGATGTGTTTGTACGTGATCATTTTCACAGGCCATGTGAGGCTGACACAAGGTAAGGCTGACACGAGGTAAGGCTGACACAAGGTGAGGCTGACGCAAGGTGAGGCTGACGAAAGGTGAGTCTGACGAATGGTGAGTTTGAAGTCGGCCTGAATTGCTGTCTGTCTACCCACATATCTCCCCCGTTCACTCAGGGCGACCTATCTTTCTGCAGCGGCGGCGACCAGGCAGTGAGGGGCAAGCATGGATACGTGGGAGGCGATCAGGTGCCGCGACTCAACGTGCTGGACCTGCAGGTGCGGTGGTGAGGGGGGGGAGGGGTGTTTCCCTTATGCAAAGGTGCCCAAGTGCATGGGGATGGGGGAGAGGAGGTTATCTTGGCGTGGATAGATACGTGGGGGGCGATCAGGTGCCGTGACTCAACGTGCTGGACCTGCAGGTACGTGTGTGTGTATGCAGGGGTGGGGGGAGTGGCGCGTGTGTGCGTTTTTGTGCATGGTTGCTCGGTTGCACGTGTATACCGGGCGACCAGGTGCCCTTAGACTCAATGTGCTGGAGCTGCAGGTACGTGTGGGTGTGTATGCAGGGGAAGGGGGAAGTGGAGGAAAGGAAGAGGGGGAGGAAGGGAGATTGATGGGGGCGAGGACATAGTGCGTGGGTACATGGGTGCTCACGTGCTGAACCTGCAGTGTGTCATTGTGTGAGGGTGTTGTAACCTTGACACATTGTGCTGGACGTGCATGTGATTGTTACACCTCTCTCCCGCCTACCTTGTTGCCCTTCGCCTTTGGCTCCCCCTCTCCCCCCCCGATTTCTCTTCACCCAGAGAGGGGGAGCCAAAGGCACTTTTAGTTCCTCAGATCAGGCTTCCCCTCTTCAACCCTCTCCCCTCCCCCCCCCCCCCCCCCCCCCTCTCTCCCTCCAATCCGGCTTGTCCTTGCAGGTTCAAATCCGACGCACTCCCAAGCCTGTGATTGCCATGGTACGTTATGGTTGGCATAGTAAGTTATAGTTGGCATAGTAAAGTATAGTTGGCAAAGCAAGTTATGGTTGGCATGGTAAGTTATAGTTGGCATGGTAAGTTATAGTTGGCATAGTAAGTTATAGTTGGCATAGTAAGTTATAGTTGGCATAGTAAGTTATAGTTGGCATGGTAAGGCCACGCTTGTTTCACCACGGTCATCCACAATCTCCATGCCAAGCCGCCATGTATGCGGTATGCCATGGAGTTGTATGTACAGGGGGCAGGCTTCGCCATGGGGGGCGGGCACGTGCTGCACCTGGCGTGGTGTGTGTGTTGCATCCCTCTAGAGCACACTGTTGCTCTAATCTTCATGACGTTCTGTACCCACCCTGTCCCTCCATCCGCTCCCAGGTGGCAGGGTACGCCATAGGCGGCGGGCACGTGCTACTGTGTATTGCATCCCGCTAAAGCACCATGCTCTGTACCTCTATCCCTCTGTCCGCTCCCAGGTGGCAGGGTACGCCATACGGGGCAGGCACGTGCTGCACTGCACCTGGTGTGCCCAAATGACTTGCTGCGTTTTGTCTATCCCTGCATGTCTATCCCGCCTCCTGCCCATGGGTTACGGGTATCTGCGCATGCAGGTGGCAGGGTACGCCATAGGGGGCGGGCACGTGCTGCACCTGGTGTGCGACATCACCATCGCTGCTGACAATGCTGTGTTCGGCCAGACAGGGCCCAAGGTGAGACAGGGCCCAAGGTGAGGCAGACAGGGCCCAAGGTGAGACAGGGGCTCAACCCAAGAGGAGACAGGGCCCAAGGTGAGTGAGGGCTGGGCGCAACCCTAGGTGATACAGACAGGGCTCAATGTGAGACAGGGGCTCAAGGCCGGAGGTAAGGGTACGCCATAAGAGGCGGGCACGTGCTGCACCTGGTGTGTGACATCACCATCGCTGCCGACAATGCTGTGTTCGGCCAGACAGGGCCCAAGGTGAGACAGGGCCCAAGGTGAGACAGGGGCTCAAGGCAGAGGCTCAATGTGCGACAGACAGGGCCCAAGGTGAGGAGGGCAGGTCCCAAGGTGATACAGGGCTCAATTCAAGGGGCGAGAGGGGCGAGAGGGGCTCTAGGCGAGGCAGGGGCTCAAGGCCGGAAGTAAGGGTTCGCCATAAGGGGGCGGGCACATGCTGCACGGATTGCCATGACGCAGGCAGGGTACAGCTGCTCCATCGGGTCTTAGCTCTTGTGCTCGCTCCTAAATCCTTCTTTCTATTCAGCCGTCACATGACGGGTGGGCAGCTTCGATGCGGGCTACGGCTGCTGCATCATGTCTCGGGGTGCCTTCCAATTTCCACTGAATCACGCAATCTCGGGGTGCCCGTTATCAGTGCCTTTGCTCCCTCCCGGGTGGGCAGCTTTGACGCAGGCTATGGCTGCTCCATCATGTCTCGCCTTGTGCCTTGCAACGTGCCTGATGCCCCTCACCTGACCTCATTCCCATTGCTGCCCTTCACTATCCCCCGTCACCCCTCCCAGGTGGGCAGCTTTGATGCGGGCTATGGCTGCTGTCTCGCCTGGTTCCTTGCGATGTGCTCGATGCCCCTCACATCTCCTCATGCCCATGTTTATTTTGAGTCGACTCAAAATACACCTCTCCTCATGCCCATGTTTATTTTGAGTCGACTCAAAATACACCTCTCCTCATGCCCATGTTTATTTTGAGTCGACTCAAAATACACCTCTCCTCATGCCCATGTGGGCAGCTTCCAATGTCCTCGATGTTTCATTCCCATCACCCCCCTTCCAAACCCCCATCCCAGGTGGGCAGCTTTGATGCGGGCTATGGCTGCTCTATCATGTCTCGCCTGGTCGGCCCAAAGAAGGCGCGGGAGATCTGGTTCCTCGCAAGGCACTACACAGCTGCCCAGGCGCTTGACATGGGGCTAGTCAATACCGTTGTTCCTGTGAGTGTGTGGAGGGCCGGTTCTGCCGACACTGTTCATGTGGGCCCATGCCAGCCAAGCCAGTCAAGGTCTCAGCAGCCAAGAAGGCGCGGGAGATCTGGTTCCTCGCAAGGCACTACACGGCTGCACAGGCGCTCGAAATGGGTCTGTTCAACAGCGTTGTGCCCGTGAGTGCTTTGCCGTGTCAACTCTGGAGTGCCTCTAACGTCACTCGCAGCCAAGAAGGCGCGGGAGGTCTGGTTCCTCGCGCGCCACCACATGGCTGCCCAGGCGCTTGACATGGGCCTAGTCAACACTGTTGTTTCTGTGAGCTTGCGGAGGGCTGGTTCTGTCGACTCTGTTCATGTGGGCCTGTGCCAGCCAGCCAAGCCCGTCAAAGTCTCAGCAGCTAAGTAGGCGCGGGAGATCTGGTTTCTCACGTGGCACTACACGGCTTCCTAGGCGATCGGCATGGGTCTAGTCAACACCGTTGTTCCTGTGAGCCTTTTTTAGGTCAAGTCAGCTCTGTTGCTTATGTGTCCATGCCAGTTACGCCAGTCAATGCCAGCAGCAGCCGAGAAGGCGCCGGAGATCTGGTTTCTCGCGCGCCACTACAAGGCTGCCCAGGCGCTCGATATGGGGCTGGTCAACACCGTTGTTCCTGTGAGTGCACGGCTGCTCAGGCGCTTGATATGGGGGGCCTACTCAGTATTCCTATCCCTGTGAGTGCCGAGGGCTTGTCCTGTCAGCACTGCCCTTGAAGGCACCCTCATGCCAGCAGTCGCCAAGACGGCGCTGTAGATCGGGTTCCTGGCGCACCACTACATGCCTGCTCAAACGCTTGATATGGGGGGCCTACTCAGTACTCTTGGCCCTGTGAGTGCCGAGGGCTGGCCCTATCAGCACTGTTCTTGTGCTGACAGGACAGCACTGTCCTTGAACGCACCCTCATGCCAGCAGCCGCTAAGACAACGCTGGAGATCAGGTTCCTCAGCGGCCGCCCGCCACTGCACGGCTGCTCAGGCGCATGACATGGCTCGTTCTAGCTCTATCGTTCCTGTGAGTGCTTTGAGGCACTTCAAGACGTGCATGTGGCCAGCTCTGCCTGCTGTACCACTCACCCTTACCTTACTTTAAAATGGTGGTAACCGGTTTCGGCTCGAAGCCGCGAGGTGACTTTTGAGTCGACCCGAAAGTCACTTCAAGACGTGCATGTGGCCAGCTCTGTCTTCTGTACCGCTCACCCTTACCCCACTCACTCAACCCCCTCCGCTGATACCCCGTTGGCCAATCTCTCTTGCCATGTGCTTGTGCCCTCCCTTTGTGCCCTCTGCTCCTGCCATGTGCTCGTGCTCTCCCTTTCTGCCCTCTGTTCGTGCCATGTGCTTGTGCCCTCCCTTTCTGCCCTCTGTTCGTGCCATGTGCTTGTGCCCTCCCTTTCTGCCCTCTGTTCGTGCCATGTGCTTGTGCCCTCCCTTTCTGCCTTCTGTTTGTGCCATGTGCTTGTGCCCTCCCTTTCTGCCCTCTGCCATTCACCAGCTTGCTAACCTGGAAAGGGAGACAGTTAAGTGGTGTCAGGAGATCCTGAGGAGCAGCCCCATGGCGCTGAGGGTGCTCAAGTCTCCTCCCTGTGCTTGTGCCCTCCCTTCGTGCACTTCGTTATTCACCAGCTTGCCAACTTGGAAGGGGAGACAGTTAAATGGTGCAGAGAGATCCTAAGGAACAGCCCCACGGCGCTGAGAGTGCTCAAGTCTGCCATCAATGCTGTGGATGATGGCACTGCTGGCTTGCAGGTAAGCTGAGGTGCAGGCATCATAGTCACCCGGTAATGTGTGGTGTGCTTGGCATGCAGGTTATGGGGGCGTGTGCAAGGCCACGTAGGTACTTGGCACACCACTCCACACAACGGAATGCAGGAACAGCCCCACCACGCCAAGAGTGCTCAGTTCTGCCATCAATGCTGTGGATTGTGGCACTGCTGGCTAGCAGGTAACGTGGCATGCAAATACCATGCATGCTGCATAGGTTGCCATACGGGTATTGTGTTTTGTGCATGGCACCAGCGTAATGTGATGTGTATGTATAAAATTGCCGTCATCAGAGTGATACAACAACTCCCACCATTGTCATTGTTTTACTATTTTTCTATGATCAGGAGCTAGCGGGAAATGCGACGCTTATATTCTACAACACACCAGAAGCAGTGGAAGGCCGTGAGTCATACTTGAATGGGCGCGCCCCTGATTTCTCCAAGTTCCCCAAGCTTCCGTAAGCCAGTTCAACAGGTTATAAACAAGGCCAATATCGAGTTTGAAAAGTGTGACAGTTTGTATTACAAGATCATTCATGTACCTTCGTATCCGAGTCATATGATTTTCCGGAGTGGGTGTACAAAACAAAGTGCCTCTCTGATCGATAAGTAGTTTTCTTATTGCTGGAGACAGTGCTTGAACCGAGCGAGGCATTATCGAAAGCAAATTTAGAGAACATCCTCCGTGTGCGGGTTGTCTTGGGGGAGGTCAGCCAAACCATCCCACCCCACCCAGCTTCCAACAAACATTTGTCTCCACTCTACCGCCCCCATTGGTTCAATTGGCTGGTTTGTGTAAATGTCTGGATTTCTTGGGCAGAAATGTTATTGTTTTTCATGGCCTGAACGACCCCGTTTTAGCACCGGAAGGTAAAAACACGTCGCCTCCCGATGAATGTTCAACGTGCGCCAATCAACTGGAAGAAGGGCAGCCTCCCAAAGGTGGACAACATTTTGGAGCTTGGTCAGAAAACGGTCACATATGGCCTCAGGGCAGTTTTCGCAACGCCAAGTCGCGCTTCGCCGATCAGGAGACGTGTAGTGGTGGGCAGGGCTTACTTTTGGTTTTCAGTCACCCTTAAAAAATCGGGCTCCTTGAAAGTTTACCCTTAATTTTCAGGATCCAGCGTGAGTAACGTGCTGTGAGGGGAGAACAACGAAAATCTTCTAAGGGAGTTGTTCCTCTTAAGGAGATCCCCCCTGTAGCCCTACCAGCACTAGTAGTACACTCAGGGTAGGAAACAAATATACCGTTAATCTCAAGGGTTACACTCTGCATAAACCCTTAATCCCCCAGGTTCATAACAATACAATCCTTAATTTGTGGGGCCAGCTTAAAAACTACTCTTTATTTGACTCGAATTCAGGGCAGCAACCCTTGAAAAATAGGCCCTGGTGGTGGGTGTGCCGTGACGGCGGGCAGACGGTTCACGAAAACCATTTCCCCGTCAACGAGCAACGTGCTCGCGAGTATGCGAATAAGCTCGAAATATTCTTCGCAAAATTTAGGGTTTGTTTTCTCCACCGACAACTAGCTCATGAGCCGGGTAACCTGAACCATTCCCAAGGTTCCGTCTGCTCTGTTGCTCTGACCGTGCGCCGCCTAAACCAGTGCCTCCTCTGTTCTTGCTCGGTGGCTCTTACTGTCTGTTTCTTGCGTCTCGTTCCCCTATGGCGTTCCTTACTCGCCAACCGAGCACGGATGAACGGTGTCACAGCTTGTTCTTGCTCCCCGAGCTTCCCACGCCGCGAGTTTCTGAACATTTCCGTGTCGCGACCCCAATTTTACCGCGTAAACCCAACGGTGGGCCGACAGTGTGGCTCAACCTGGTCCGTTCGTGTCAAGAAAGCCAACTTAGCTCGCGGACATCTGTGGTCAAAATTAGCTGATCAGGGTTAGGAAGAGAACCAAGACGCTGCAGGGATATCTTATTGTGGTCTCAGTGACGACTGATGCGACACTAACCATTATCGAGGTTCCCAGTTTCATCGGAGCTTTGCTAGCTGAGTTATATTTAGGCACCTTTATTACTGCGGAAAGCGGCATCGTAACGTTGCACAGTCGAGTTCCTTCAGAGCCAACTAGAAGAGCCGAATCGGAAGAAGCCCAAATCTTAGATCTGTACCAGAGAAGCGGGGACGTGGTGAACCACTCGGCGCCGTGACTCCATATATCCCGACTCCGACAATGCCGAGACGCGGAGAGCAGTTGCTGCGTCGAGTAGGACGCAGAACTACTCGCCTACCCTGCGGACTGCAGAGTAGGCTGAATCCGCTAAATCCGCTGCTCGTGTTTCTGCTCCTCGCCTTGCTCTCCGTCGCCTTGGTTCGACTCGAACAGCCGCTCTTGCTCCCCGCCGGAGCCGCAGGTGAATGGCCACGTGCTCGTGCCTGTCGCTTATTGCCTAAGTACTTGATTCGGTGCTTACCTCGGTGCTTGGTTTAGTGCATTGCTAAGTTCGCCGCTTAATTTCCTCCCCTCCTCCCCACGTTACCCCCTTCTTACCCTTGTCTCCTCGTGCTTCCCACGGGAAATTTCATGCTTGCCCTCTGGGTTGACTTTTGAGTCGACTAAAAAAATTCACTCCCTTGTCTCCTCGTGCTCCGCACGGAAAATGTTATTCTTGCCCTCGTGTCAGGTCACAGGAGCGCGTATCACGAGCCGTCCTGCCACGGGTCCCTGTACCACCTGCATCGGACTAGCGCCTGGCATCAGAATCTCTCTATTTATACAGAATCAGCGAGTCCAGCCACTAACGAGGACGGTTACAGATCCGCTCCAGGCCATCCGAAAGCCGTGCAACTACCATCACATTTAGAGCCTTCACCTTCACTAGAATCACACCAGCCAGAGTCACGTTATATCAAGTCACACCAGTTACAGTCACAGTCACATGGGAAGTATCTGCCTTGGACCGAGCCTCAGGAGTGGATGAACCCGTGGCTGAGGCAGCAGGTTCGGTCCGAGCCTGCTACGTTGGCTTGGATGGAGGAGTCCATGGCGCAGGAGACTCGTCCCGTGCCTGCAGGCTGGCTTGCTGCCGAGCCTGAACCTGCCGCCGAACCTTACGCCGCTGCTGCTGCCGAGGCTGACTTTGCCAGCCCTGCTTCGGTTTCGGCTGCTGCTCATGCTGGCGTTATGCAAGGTGAGGCGAACTTCAGCAAGCTGTTTTTGAGAAAACGCAAGCAGCACCCCTCGTCCAGTTTTGAGGCGCCTCAAAACTAGACTCCTATCACGCGGTTTTTGCGGCGCCTCAGAATAATTCTCAAAAACGCCAGGCAGCACCCCTCGTCCCAGCCGGTCGCCCTCTTTTTCCAACCACTCCCCCCCCATCCAGGCCCAGCCTGCTCCCCAATCGGTTCAGCCGTCCCCCCCCCCCCCCCCCCCCCCCCCCCCCTGTGACTCAAGAGCCTGACTTGCGCAAGCACAGGCAGCACCCCTCGTCCCGGAGGGTCATCCTGGACCTGCAGTTCATGATGCATTCATGATGCATTCATGCTGCATTCATGATGCATTCATGATGCAGGATCACGTCACTCTCATCAAGCACGGGCTGCTGTTCGGCCTCGGCTACACGTGCACCGTCCCGAGGCTGCCTCGCGCCCGGCCCTCTCTCTGAGCTCCAGTTGTATTTTGAGTCGACTCAAAATACAACTGCCCTCCCTCTGAGCTCTGAACCACGCCTCAGCCTCACTGCCTTCTCTCCCTTCCTCCCTTCGCTCCCTGCTCACACCATATCCAGGGTCGGCGTGCTCCCCCATCGAAACCGCTGTCATCATCAATGTCACGAAGGAGCCCGACTTCCGCAAGAGGAGGAGCTACCCATTGTCCATCACGGTCATTCTGGAGCTGCAGAACCAAGTCACTCTGAGGCGCGGGCTGCTGTGGGGGCCCGCCTTTGCATGCACCATCCTGAGGCCGCCTCACGGCCCCTCCAATCCACGCCGCAACCTCTCTGCTCCCTGCCTCCTCTTCCTGTTCCCTTTGACAACCCCACCCGCCCGGCCCCTTGCAGGCTCAGCATGCTCCCCCATCGAAACCGCTATCATCATCAATGTCACGAAGGAGCCCGACTTCCGCAAGAGGAGGAGCTACCCATCGTCCATCACGGTCATTCTGGAGCTGCAGAATCACGTCACTCTGAGGCGCGGGCTGCTGTGGGGGCCCGCCTATGCGTGCACCATCCTGAGGTCGGGCGCCAAGGCCAAGGGGAGGGGCTTCCGGCTGTACGTGCACCGCGTGGACGAGCCCCTGCTGCGGGTGTGGAACACCAGCAATATTATTGTGCACCGAGTGCAGGTGAGCTATCTTTCCCACATCATGCCCCACTCAACCAACAACGAGCCGCTACTGCGAGTGTGGAACACCAGCAATATTATTGTGCACCAAGTGCGGTGCAGGTGGGTCTCCATTCCACGTCATAAACCACTCAACCACGACCCCCTGCTGAGGATGTGGAACACCAGCAACGTCATCGTGCATCGATTACAGGTGGGTCAGTCTCTGGGACTGTGTGTGAGAGTGTGTGCACCGCGTGCAGGTAACCTCTCCCTCTCCCTCTCCCTCTCCCTCTCCCTCTCCCTCTCCCTCTCCCCTCGCTGCTGCTGTCGCGCTTACCCCCTTCCCCTTTCTCGCATCCCATCCCACAGATGCGGAAGCCATTTGTATTTTGAGTCGACTCAAAATACACCTGTTGCTCTCACTCCCTTCTCCCTTCTCACTGCAGGCACTCACTGCCACTTCTTTCTCCCTTGCTCTCTGCACCCCCCCCCCCCCCCCCAACATTTGTCGCAGCCCTTCTGCGCCTACTCAAAAGCGTGCCCCAAGGAGTTCCCTGAAGTTACTGATGCTTGAAAGCCTGCTGCTTATGTTCTCCGGCTCCATCCATACCCAACTTGCATCCCCCCCTCCCCCTCCCTCCCTCCCCCCCTCACAGATGTCGCAGCCCTTCCGCGCCTACTCCAAAGCGTGCCCCAGGGAGATCCCTGACGTGGGAACGGACATCATCTGCCCTCTCATCCACGTCTACCGCTCCTATGGGATTCAGATTGTCAAGGTGAGCTGAGGCTGCTAATAAGGAGTACACTTGCTAACGACTTGGAGCCGCGGCCGTTTTGTTTCACTGCCCAATTCCCATGCATCAACTCTCTGATTCCCAACTTTGCCTCCCGTCTTCCACCCTAGTGTTTGCCCCTTTTTCGCCCCGGGCTGCGCCTCAGGCAGGGTTGCTTTTGAGGCGCCTCAAAAGCAGTCTCAGTTCACGCGGATTCTGTTTCGCCTCAAAACCACCCTAGTGTCTGCTCCTTTTTCATCCCGGGCTGCGTTTGAGTCGACTTTTGAGTCTACTCAAAACCACCCTGGTGCTGGCCCCTTTTTCAACCGGGACTGCGCCTCAGGCAGAGTTGGCTTTTTATTCGACTCAAATGTCACCTCAAAAGTCACTGTTTTCATCCCGGGCTGCTCCATAGGCAGGGTTGACATGGTCCGCACGATGCACAGCCACTTCGAGAACATGAAGATGACAGCCGCGCACGACTTCACGAGGGGTAGATGTTTGGCAGGGCTACACCAGGCAGGGCTAGACCTTTGGAAGGTTGGACTTTGTCTGAACCATGCACAGCCACATCGACTTCACGAGGGGCAACGGGGTAGATGCTTGGCACGACTTCACGAGGGGTAGACGTTTGGCAGGGCTACACCTTTGGAAGGTTGGACTTTGTCTGAACCATGCACAGCCACATCGACTTCACGATGGGCAACGGGGTAGACGTTTGGCACGACTTCACGAGGGGCAACGGGGTAGGGCAGGGTAGGCTTTGTTCCATTTAAGCAGGGCAGCTGTGAACAAAGTTTTTACCCCGCCCTGCTGTCCCCTGCCAGCTGTGCATGGTCGTTTGGCAGGGTAAATTTTGTTCGAACCATGCACAGTCTACCCTGCCTTGTTGTCCCCTGCCAGGTGTGCATGGTCGTTTGGCAGGGTAGACTTTGTTCGAACCATGCACAGCTGTCTCTCCCCTGCTGTCCCCCTCTCCCCCGCTCCCCTCCCCAACGCCCTCTTCAGGGCTACAGCTTTGGACGGGTGGACCTTGTCTGACCCGTCAAAGAGTGCACGACTCAGAGAGCCATCACAGCCTGCACGACTTTGTCTGAACCATGCACAGCCGCATCGAGTCAAAGAGGATAACAGCAGTGCACGACTTCAAGGGGGGTCGTCACTTCTGGTGACTTACACCTTCCCCCTCCTCCCTCTCTCCTCCCCTTTTCCCTGCAGGGCTACTCCTGTGGACGGGTGGACTTGGTTCGCACAATGCGCAGCCTGCTTTTGAGTCTGCTGAAAAGCAGACTCATTACACGCGGTTTTTGAGTCGAGTCAAAAGCAGACTCATTACAAGCGGTTTTTTAGTCGACTCAAAAGCAGACTCATTACACGCGGTTTTTTTAGTCAACTCAGAAGCAGACTCATTACACACGGTTTTTGAGTCGACTCACAAGCAGACTCATTACACGCGGTTTTTTTAGTCGACTCAAAAGCAGACTCATTACACGCGGTTTTTGAGTCGACTCGTTCGCACGATGCGCAGCTGCATCGACTCAATGGGGATGACAGCCGTGCACGGCTTCACGAGGGGCAGCAGGGCGTCACACTTTCTCTCTGACCCTGCCTTCTTCCCCGCTCCCTTATCCCCCCAGGGTTACACCTTTGGGCGGGTGGACATGGTGCGAACGATGCACAGCCGCATCGACTCAATGAAGATGACAGCCGTGCACGACTTCCCGAGGGGCAACGGGGTCATCCGGGTGATGCTGTCGGGGTATGGGCCCTTGCTGGTGCGCGCTTATATCTACATCACCAATAACGAGATCTACGGTACGTGTGGGTGTGTGAGATGCATGGACACACGTGGTGTGTTGTGAGGATGGGGAGAGGGGCAACGGGGTCATCCGGGTGATGCTATCAGGGTATGGGCCCCTGCTGGTGCGCGCTTACATCTACATCAACAACGAAGTTTATGGTACGTGTGGTGGTATGGTATGGCATGTGTGGGTGGGCTATACTTGACGTCGGGATGGGAAGAGGATGACGGGGTCATTGGTGTGATGATGTCGGGTCGGGTCATTACGGACCCCTGTCGCGTCATGCACAGTGATGGTGTTGTTTGGCACGGTGGGAGCAGCGTTCAAGAACAACCCCGTGCTCGACTTCGTGTGGGTTGGGCTGCCATCTCTCCTTTACTCTTTTCCTATCCCCCTCCACTCCTCTCCACCACTCTCCGCCGCTTCTCTCGCCTCACCCCCTCCGATCCCCCAGGCACGTACCTGCCAGTGCTGCTGCAGTTGGGCGTGGTGGGAGCAATCTTCAAGAACAACCACGTGCACGACTATGTGTGGGCTGCCATCGTGTGTGGCAACATGGTGCACTCTCAGGTGAGGGGAGGAGGGGGAAGGGGGGAGGTAGTATGTTGGATTATATGTGTCAGATCACAGCTTAACAGGTGAGGTGCAACCACGGGCTTGACTTTGTGTGGGCTGTCATAGCGGGTGGCAACACGCACGGCAAAAGCAGACTCCTCACGCATGGGTGGCAACATGGTGCACTCTCAGGTGAGGAGTCTGTTTTTGGGTGGCAACACGCATGGCAAAAACAGACTCCTCACGCATGGGTGGCAACATGGTGCACTCTCAGGTGAGGGGAGGCGCAATGGGGAATCTATTTTTGAGGCGCCTCAAAAATAGACTCCTCACGCAGGTGAGGGGAGGCGCAACGCGGAAAACTCAAACTCAAACGAAAGTGAGAGCAGGACTCGTGGCTGAAATCCGCAACTTTGTTGTTTTGACACGTCTCAAAACTCAATCTCCGTGGCTAAACTCCGCAAATCAGCATCTCCGCATCCCCGCATCCCCGCAACGATCGCCACCATATTCCTGCTGTTCCCTCCCTCTCCCCCCCCCCCCCCCCCCCCACCAGCGGCTACCCTACTCCTCCCTTTGCTTCCCTCGTGTCTATTCTCCCCCTCCCTCCCTTCCCTGCCCTTCCCCCTCGTTCCTCCAGGGCGCCTGCATGCTTACTTCTGTACCCAACAACCTCGCTTTTTGAGGCGCCTAAAAAGTCAACCTCGTTTTTCGAGGCGCCTAAAAAATGCTTACTTGTGTACCCAACAACCTCGTCGTGACCAAGGACCGCACTCATCCCTTTAACCCCATTTTGTCTTGTCTCCCTCATCTCTCAAACAAACACCCTGCCTCCCCCCCTCTCCCCCCTCCCCCCAGGGCGACTGCATGCTCACTCCCATCTCCAACAACCTCGTGGCTGGCAAGGGCCGCAACGCAACCATCCCTACCTTATTGCTTCCTTCTCCTTCCTCTTCACTCTTCTCCCCACCCCCCCAATCCCCCCTTTCCCCCCACGGCGACTGCATGCTCACTCCCAGCTCCAACAACCTCGCGGCTGGCAAGCCAAGGGCCGGAACAATTGCTGCCTGTCTCCCCCATATCCCAAACCAACCCCTCCCCCCACGGCGACTACAGGCTCACATCCATCTCCAACAACCTTGTGCTTGGCAATGGCCGCCACCAACCCTACCTTATTGCTCTTTCTTATCGATTATCCCCCATCCCGTCCCCCATCCCTTCGCCCTCTCTCCCTTCTCGCTCTTTCTTCCCTCGGCGACTGCAGGCTCACATCCATCTCCAACAACCGTGTGCTTGGCAATGGCTGCAACCTGACAGGGGGAGGGCACGCCACCGTGGGGAAATACCATGCAACCATCGTACACTTATGACTCTCTCTTGTCCCTTACCCCCCACATTCCTCAATCCTTCCCAGGGCGACTGCATGCTCACCTCTATATCCAACAACCTTGTGGTTGCCAAGGGCCGAAACCTGACTGGGGGAGGGGACGCGACGGGGATATACTACGTGACGCACTGGAATAACCCGGGTAATATCGCGGAGTGCAACTACATCTTCGGGGGCGACCACTGCTACTACCTCGATTTTGCTTCCTCGGGTGTGACTATACGCGGAGGGGCTTGTATCGGGCCTGTGGATGGCATGAAAGTCAACAATGGGAAGTGGTGAGTCAGCAATGGGGACTGGTGAGTCAGCAATTGGGAATGGTGAGTCAGGAAAGGGAAATGGTGAGTGGATGCACGTGTTGGTGAGATTCCGCTACCACAACTTCCTTCCGTTACCTCTCCTCACTCCCAGGAACCGTATCGGGCACGTGTTCACAGAAATGTTTCCCTTTCCTATATCCTCGATATACTCTATTTTCGATTCTAGATTTTTCTATGTACTCTATTTTTCTATGTACTCTATTCTTTGATGTACTCTATTTTTCTATGTACTCTATTCTTCGATGTACTCTATTCTTCGATGTACTCTATTTTTCGTTGTACTCTATTGTTCGATGTAGTCTATTTTTTCGACGTACTCTATTTTTCTATGTACTCTATTTTTCGACGTGCTCTATTTTTCTATGTGCTCTATTTTCTTCCCGGGACCTCATCCAGTATGTGGTGATGAGGGGTGCACGGAGCACACGCCAGACTGATGCGCGCAGTCAAAACAATATCTGCTACCACATCCAATGTTCCTTCCGTCACCTCTCTTCACCTTTCTGTCACCTCTCCCCACTCCCAGGAACCGCATTCAGCACGTGGTGATGAAGCGCACCGAGAGCACCCCCGGCTGGTGCACATGTCTCACTGCCACGGTGTGCAACTGCCTCAAAGACCCGGGCAACTACTGGGACCGCATGCGCGCCAAGTACTACAACAGTGCCGTGTTTCAGAAGGTGGGTTGCATCCCCCTTATAGCCAAATCAGTCATCTTCTGGCGCGGTGGGACTGCATGTGCGCCTCCAAGCATAACAGCGACACACTTTTCAGAATGTATTGCCGGATGCACTCTCTCCCATCTGACCGCACCTTGCAAGGTCAGATGCACCCTCTCACATCTGACCGCACCTGGTCAGATGCACCTTGCAACTCTGGCTGTGAAAGGGTGGGCTGTCTGTCTGCTTTGGCACAGTCTGTAAGTGTCTGTGACCCTGGCAAAATTGTATGCAAGCCAGGTGATCTATTACATTTCAGCAGGTGTGTCCTCCTTATAGGTCATCCCCCTTATAAGACAACAAAGGTACTGGTACTGTACTTGGGTTTGTAACTGATTCGTCTCAATCTCCCTTCGCATTGTGTTCACTCTGCCCTCCTTTACTTTTCACCATTGCCGTCCGCCTTATTATATGTTCAGAGATGGCCCTGGATGAAGGATACTTGTAACGAGACTGCCATTAACGGAACTCCATGTAACACAAATGCGCGGGGCACCTTAAAGGACACGGAGACAGGCAAGTGCAGCGGGCTGCCCACAAATAATTACATCGACCTGGTTTTGGTTGATGTGCAAGATGCGGACATGAACTACCGTTACTGCGAGCAGCTTCCCAACGTGCCCAAGTTAAATACACATAATCACATTAACGTAACGTCTGAGTCCGCACAGTTCATTGATTACGCTAATGATGACCTGGGTGTTAAAAAGGGGTCACCTATTTTTAAGAAGCGGCCCAATTTCAAGAACTGCCCGAGGAAAATAGTGGGGCCTAAGAAGGTGAGGGATAGCTTCTATTATAGATATTTTGGGGTTCAAAGGCCCTGGCGGTTTAGATTAGTGAAATGGATGAATGGTAGCCATTTCCATGATCCTACTCTAGTTGACGCTGTGGGACGGTTGGAGTAATGCTTTATGTGTGCCATGCCATGTTATTACCCCATTCTATTCATTCAAGCAGCATCAAGTCGAGAAGCATTGTTTGCCACATTGATAATGCATGTGCCTTGTTAGTCAAGTATAATCTCACCTGTTTGGAAAGTGTGTACCTCGTTCGAAGAGAATCGAGCTTGGGTATTCGTTGCCGTAATGTTCTCTCATTTGAACGTACGGTACAAATCATGCAACATTCAACCATTTTTCATCAACAACGGAGTGCATTTGCGCCCCTTATACCTAATCTTGCTCTATTGTAGGCTAGCTCATTTTTTGAATACTTTTTTTGGTTAAAAATATTAGCTTATTTTAACCTCTATTTAGTACCTTTAACACACTATCTATGAACGGGCAACCTTGTGGTGCGTACATTCTTCTGCGTCGTGATGACAGCTAGAATCAGCTGGCGGGCAGTTTTGTCACATCATCACCATTCCTGCTGATAGCATTTCCTGCTTTGCCAATCACGATCTAGGATGCCAGTTTCTTCGACCTCAGATCGACGGTCATTCACGGTGTCCCCCAGTGCGTATGCTGCCATGGCGGTCGAGTTTCGTTGACCGCGAAGGAAAGAAACCCAACGGGCACCCGATCCTAGAACGATCTCGGGTTTCACCTCCACTATCTCACCTCACCAACCACACCTCAGCAGCCGCCCAAACCCTCACTCTAGCTGTTTCGGGCATCACAAGAAGAATAGAAGAGTCGTCACCAGGCAACGCTAGCACTTCCACTCATCAATTGTGGGGATCAGAACAACGTAGCACACTGGGCAAGAAGAAAAGAAGTTTGGTGAGGCACTTGTACTGTACCACCTGACTTTGCACCTGAAAATACATCACGTGATTCGCCTTTCTCCGTGCCAACAGTAACCGCAGCCATCAATGAGCAGGCAGCTGCCCCGAACAAAGCTCGAGACAGTTTCACATGCCCTATGGATCCCCACCACAAGCTGGCGGAACGCAAGACCTTCCGCGCGGAGCCCACTCGGCCAACGAGGCCCGCGCATACTTACTGTACCGTTCCATCCGCTCGAACGTTTTTTTTTTCGGCGAGGACACCTGTCATCTAGACGCTGGGGGCGATTGGCTGTTCCTCCCGTCCCCCCCCACCTCACCTCCCCCCCCCCCTCCTTCCCTTCCCCCTCCCTCCGCGCGCTCACCAGCCAACCCGCCAACCACCTCACGCGAGCGCGGGAAACCCTAGGCTCCCCTCCCCCCCACCACAACCCCCCTGTGCCCCGGCATTTTGTGTGGCCCGCTTGAGCTGAAGCCTCTGCAAAGAGCGCGCGAAGAATATCCCATGCATTCGCCAATCATCCCTCGCGTCAGGGTGGGGGGAGATCCCCGCCTCCAACCACTTGCTTTGCCGCCTTGCTCCTTTCCTCCCTCCTCTCCTTCCTCCCCTCAAATCCTTCCCCCACATCCCCCCCCCCCCACCACTTTCTCTCTCCCCCTAACCTCACCTCTCCCCTCTCTCTCCTCTATCTCACTCCTCTCTCCCTCTCCTCTCCCCTCCCCTCCTCCCTTCCTTGCCTCTAGCACAGGCTTCCTCCCCTCTTCACCTGTCTCCCGTTTTCTTCCTTCCCTGTCCCCTCTCCTTCCATGGCTCTCAGCGTACATCCCACCCACCCACCCACCGTCGCCCTGACCTCGCCTTTCATTTGAGAAAACGAGACTCCAACCGAACAGCCATAGGAACCCCTTTGAATGCCAAGCCCGTGCAGTTGGAAGCCCTGCCGACCACCACAGACGTTCGCTTTCGTTGTAGCGTTTGATTATTGTTGCCTGCTCGCAAGTCAACTTGTTTAGCTTCCGTCGCACAACCCAGCTTCGTCCGACTTACATGCCGCAGTCCTCTGGTTTCCTTCCAGCCCTGTAGGTTAGTTATTTTATTCATTCATTTTTTTCCCAGCCTCTCGCGACTCCACGGAGGCTCGTTTCTGTACTTATCACGCCAGCTCAAGCGGAGTAGAACGTACCCGATTTCCACTTGTTAGATACTGGAAAACTAGAAAGCCTGCTGACATGGCCTGCATGAGCTTCATGGATGCGCTTAGGGTCGCCGCTAAGACGAAAGAAGCTCCATCGGAGTGGTTCGGCTCCAACGGCTGGCCAGCAGAATGCAAGGAGCCGATTCCAATCCCGAATCTCAAGAAGAGGAAGCAGTGCGATTCCGAGCCACCTCGGCTCAAGCCAAGAACTCTCCCAGTCTCATCTGGAGCACACACCGCCTCCACCTCCTCCACCAAGCTTCTCGTTCTCCCGGACCTGGCAACTCTCATGCATCGGTCCGAACCTCGTTCCGAGCCTCCGTTGATCCGTTCCATGACATCAGCTGCGCCGTGTCGTCAGCCGTCGGATGAGCCTCGTTTGGTCCGTGCTTGCACTACCGCCAGCCGTGGTATGCGCCTGGATTCCCAGAATGCCACAACCTCCACTCCTCAGAATCTCGCGCTTTCTTCACGACCGGCGTATTCTTCTGAGTGTGTACGCGCTTCTGAGCAGCCGCCGACCTCTTCGCTTTTCGCGTCCAACGGAGCTGTCAACTTCGATTTCCATGATGCTGCGTCGGAGTGGGTGAAAGCCGTCGCCTCATCCTTACGAGGAGACTTCGTCGTCCCCGAGCCGCCGGCACAGAGACGGAATCATCCGACGGAATCCGTCCCAGAATCCGTCTCCGACAAACCTGCCCAGGGGGAGCGGAGCAAGTTGCAGCAGCAGCTGGATTTCCGCATCCAGATGCAGCAGAAGGAGGATGCGAGGCACGAGAAGAAGCTCAGCCTCTCCGAAATTCTTCAGTGGGAGGCGGAGATGGTTTCGTCGGTTTGTCCTAAAGCCCGTCCCGCTCCTCCCACTGTTAAGATTCCGGTCTTTGGTTTCTCGGAGCCTCTGGAGTCGAAGCCTGCAGTGCTGGCTCAAACTGCTGACGTGGAAGCCGAGAAATTGGATGATAAGATATTTATCGATGAGCTACTGATGGAGTTTGGCGTGGACGAGGAGGAAGCGACTCAGCAGCAGCAGCAGCAGCAGCCACAGGCACAAGCCGAGGAGAAGCAGCAGCAACAACAGCAGGAGCAGCAGCGCCTGCACCACGAGCCGCAGCAGCAGCAGCAGCAGCAGCAGCAGCAGCAGCAGCAGCAGATGGAAGTGCAACAGCAGCAGCAAGCTCCGCCATCAATCCCGAAGCGTCCTGCTGCTCCGCCTCTCGTCGACGTCGCGAACGTCGCCGCTACCGCTCCGTCAATGTTCGCCGACATGTACTCAATGTCCACTCCAGCCGCTGCTCCGTGCCCCACGCCCACCGGCTGGGGCTCCAACGCGTGGGAGCCTGCTGTTCCGCCGACCCCCTCAGGCATCCCCCCCACGCCCTCTGCTCCGGCTGGCGGATTCGCTTCGCTGTGGTCGGAGGCTTGGACTGACGGCTTTAATGTGGACCTATCGAGCCTCGCAGGGAACCCTGCGTTGTGGTGATGGATGGTGCGCGTTTCTTTCTGGTAACGGCTGGATGATTCTTTTCGTGGTGTTCCTCGCATGTGATGCGGAAATCATGATGCTGCTTACTTCTACTACCGCGAAGGGCGACAGGGACGTGGATTCGACTCGGAATTTCTTATTTCAGCCTGTCATGCTGCCTGCCACTACTACCTTATGATTTCGGTGAGAAGCCATTTCATGGCCGCTCACATGAAGGGCATGGGCAGCCTTCAGGTTGCTAAGGCCACTCGAGGCCGGTGGCCCTGGAGACCCTTTTAATGATCTTTAGAGGCCGAATAAGTGGGAAGTCGCTTTTTGTTCCCTGTGCGAGATGCATCACGATTCATGAATAAGGTCTCAATTTGGGCATTATGTTGTAATTTATTAATTATTCTTGGCACCAGTGACTGACCTCATGTCACACTACTGCAGTTCTATGTGTTGCAAAATGCAACTGGTTTTAAAACGTTCAGGCTGTTTCTTACCAGGTCTAGAGGTAGGTAAAGTCTGGTGCAAGGTCAATAATTACTGAGAACAATTATGAGAAAAATACAGATGCTAATGCTAGAAGGCATGATTGAACCCCCCATTGTTACACATTGGATGGCTATATGAAGACCCCAACTCTTGAATACTGTTGTAGTTCATTTGTTAACATAAGCAGAATCTTATGCATGTTACAGAGAACTGCATACCGTTTGCAGGAAAATATCGAAAGAGATTCTTGCTTCATCATGGTCAGGGCCAGCGGAGCATTGTGCAGCCATCTTTGTTCACACATTCCCCGTGCCCCTTGTCCATGTCAGCTCGGTGATGTCAGCTTGCCCCTGAATACACTGAGGGGGCACGCGCATTTGGACGTGCACACCGTGTCCGCACTATTTTCCACGCCCCAAAATATCCACTTCCCAAAAGCCTCCTAGCGGGCGGGAGGGGTTGGCCTGGTCAGAAAAACCTGACTGGACTTGAAGAAGGGGCTCCCCCCCCCCCCCCCCCAATGCCCCCATTTCCCCCGCCGCCCCTTTCGCCGTTCCCCACCCCGCCCCACCTGCATGCTGCAGCAGAAGGCACGGTGGTGGTCCCAGCCCAGGGAATCGACGAATACTTTTCAGACCCAGCCCAAAACGTAGTGTGCCATGAACTCGAAATTTAGATGTATACATTATAGCACATTATAGGATACCGCCGCAAGCTGGTGGCCCTAAAAGGCAGTAAAGTCACACGGCGTACACCGACGATAACTTCGAACGGATATACATACACCACCTCATTGACGATGTCCCCTTTCTTCGTATCCCTCCATCCGTCGCCGTGGACGCTCATGTCCATCCCTCCTCTCCTCTCCCCCCCCTCCCCCCCCCCTCCCCCTCCCCCCCCCGCCACCTCCCGGTCCGCCCCATGCAGCAAAGCAAACCCGTTTCCCGAAGCCTACTCCCCCTCGACTGGAGAAGGCTCTCAATTTTTCCCCCGAGGTACCCGTGCCAATAATTCGTCAGAAAACTATCCGATTGCCATTGGGAAAGGAGTGGGAGAATTCTACCTCGCCACTTCTCTGCCTCGGGAGGGTGGGGGTGGTGGGGGTTCGGGATAGTGTGGTAAAATCACCAGAACCCAACCTAGGCATGCTTTTGGACGGGTGAGAATGGGAAGGAGGAGGTTGCGAAACCCCTCCCCTCTTAGACGTGCACTCACAATTTCACAAAACGTTACCAGTTTGGCGGATGGAACAAGGAGGAAAGCGTTCGTCTCGAGATCGGGATTCCAATTAAAACTCACTCCCCTTCTAGGGTTTGAAATTTAGGGATACCAATTAAAACTCATTCCTGGATAGGGCTACCCCCTCTCGCTGATGTTCGGCACCCTCGCTCCCTTTTTCCCCTCCCTACACCCTCGCTTTCTATTTCTCCCCTCCACCCAGATGTTGGCCCACAGCGACTCGCGTGAGCCCAGCCTTTATGCCCCCCTTCTGATATTCTCGTTGCTGGGAATCCCTCGCAACGCAGTGCGCTGTGCAGGGATAGGTCACAAACTCCCAGCGTGAGAGGCGGGGAGATGTACCCTGCTCAATCTGCTTCTGCCACGACCAATCGAATCCACGAGACAAATCGGGTCACGGGCACACACTCACAAAAAGGACGGGTCACTAGGGAGGGGATGGGTTGGTGGGTGACTGACTGACAGGTCACGGGAAGTCGGTGCGGAGGAGGAATAGACTGCAATCCTCATGTTGTGCCATTGTCTGGTGCAAGTTGTTGTGTGGACTTCGTTCCATGTCCTAGAATCACAGCTCGTTGCTATCCTTCGCGATTCTGCAGAGCTGCATAGGCTGGTGGTGATTTTCCTCACGGGCCCTTCCTTTCCCCGACTGCGGTCCGCCCCAACCGGCAGAATAATAGCAGCAGCGATTCGCGCATGAGCAGACATGGCGGGCGGCATGAGCTTCATGGATGCGCTTCGAGTCGCGGCGAAGACGAAAGACGCGCCATGCGAGTGGTACGGGCCTCAATGCGCCTGGCCTACGAATTCCGTCCCCGAGGCTCTCAATAGTAGCCACGAACCCGTTTCAGTGCCGAGCCTCTCCATGCCGAGCCTCCAACCGCCGAGCCTTCAGGCGCCGAGTCCGAGAAAGCGAAGGCAATGCGGCCCGGAAACTCCGCGGAAAAGCCGCTCCGAGTCGCCAGTCGCTGCAGATCTTACTAATGCGGCTCCAAGAACCGGTAGTACAGATCTTACTATTGAGACCCCTAATGTCGGCGGAGAATGGCCTACAATGGCGGAGAAGCCTCGGGCTTCTAGCGCCGCTCAATGCGCTACCACCTCGCAGTATGGAACTCTTAGCACCCCCCAATGCGGCGCTATTGCTGCCGCCCAATGCGGTGCTACTACCGCCCAATGCGGTGCTACTACCGCCACGCAGCGTTCGCCTCGTCCGCCGCGGCGCCGTCGCGACGCTCGACAGCCTCCGCTAACGCTGAGGACCGTCGCTTTGGCCCCCTCTCCGGAAGCAGATCCCGCCAAGGATTCCACTCCTCCGCCGCTCCGCTTGACACCTCCCCCCACCTTCTCCGCCTTCGCCCCCCTCCCCGCCTCCGCCCACTCCGCCGCCTTCCCCGCTTCCCCCAAGCTGCTCGTTTTGCCGGATTCCACCTTCCTTCCTTCCCCGCGCATCCCAGACCCGCGTTCCGCTTCTCCGCGGACGTGTGTGACCGCGCCTTTTGAGGCGCCTCAAATTGTCCCGCGGCGTTCCGCGGACTCTCCGCGGGCGTGCAACACTGCGCCGGCCACTCCCTCGTGTCCGCGCTTCGTCGAGCCCCGATTGGGCCGAGCGCGCACGTGTGTCGTCGCTGTCGACAACGGCGGAACGGCGCCAGAATCCGCTGCGGGCGCATCCGCCATTCGCCGAACGGCATCCGGCGGCTTGGCCGACTCCCCCGCCGCCGTTTACACCGCCGACGTTTCCCCCGCATCTGCATGCGCAACGACTGGAGGACCTGACCGCGTTGACTGCATTGACCGCGTTGTCCACGTTGACCGTGTTGACCGGGTCAACGGCAACGCGCCGGCATGGGAATGGGCCGAAGCTGTCGGCATGGATATCATGTTGGACTTCCAGCCATCGGTGAGAGAAAAGCCCGAGCCTGGGGCCCCGAGCCCTGGCTCGAACAGTCCTGTGGAGTGCGAGGCGATAGCCGGCGAGAAGCGAGAGAGAGGCGGCGAGTGCGACGAGGGGAAGCGGAACTCAACCCCGTCGGCGGACGAGAAGCCGAGCCTGCGCGAGGAGAAGCCGAGCCTGTGCGAGGAGAAGCCGAGCCTGAGCGACGAGAAGCCGAGCCTGTGGGACATCATCCAATGGGAAGCCGACATGATCTCGTCCGTGTGCTCATCGGCTACTACTAGTAGTAGTCTTAAATCTCCTAGACTTACCTCCTCCCTTGCTCTCTCCGCCTCTCCCCTCCCCTCCTCTCTCTCCGCCTCCGCTCTCCCCACCACTCCGCCTCCCACGCCGTCCGCCTCGAAAACGTCGCTGACGGTCCAGATCTGCGACGACGGGAGGGCCAACGGCGGGGATCTGTCGTTCTTCGAGGAGCTGCTGCGGGAGTTCGGCGTGGCGGAGGGGGAAGAGTTGGGGGATGAAGCGGGGGAAGAAGCGGGGGAAGAAGCGGGGGGAGATTGGGGGGACGACGCGGGACGGGCGGAGGATTCGGGTGGTTATCCGAAAAAAATGGAGGATACGGGGAACGCGCACGACAGGGGGAGGTTAACGATCGAGAGCAAGTGTATTTTCGAGCCGATTCAAGAAATGTCGGAGGGGGGGGCGGAGATGGAGGTCGAAACGGGGGACGAGGCGGGCACGCCAGGGGAGAAGCTTTCGCGCGAGCAGCTTGCTGCTGCCAGCAACTTTTTAAGCAGCGTTCAGCAGGGGCGGGATTGCTGGCAAGGGGAGTCGGAAAGGGAGGCGGAAAGGGAGGCGGAAAGGCAGCAGCAGCAGCAGGAGCAAGAGCAGCATGCGCCGCGGATTCAGAAGCGTTTTTCGGCTTCGAGTTTACTGGATGCCGCCGGGAATGGCGCCTCTTGCGCGCTTGCTTATGCGCACCCGCCCGCGCATGGTTCTCCGCGTGCCCCTGCTGGCGGATTCGCTCAGCTGTGGTCCGAAGCGTGGGCGGAAGACGCGAGCGCGGAACTGCCAGGGCTGGCGGGGAATTGCGCGTTCTGGTTGTGATGTTCTGGCGAGAATCTGTACGCGCTACAAGCTCCTGCTTCAATCATGTGTTACCTGGCGATGCTCTGGTTTCAGAAGAGAAATGCCCAGAAATACACGTGAAATTCCACCTGTCTATGCCATGGGCATCAGGTCATTGACACTGGGCAGAGAAGAAAAACTGCTGCTACCGACTCCACTCAGCGAATACACTCCGTGATTTGTCACGAGGGGAAACTTACAGCTACTACCATGATTTGTCGCGAGGTAACTCCGTCGAGTATACTTCAACATGAGGCCGTCATCCTCTGATGCCAGAAGGATGAGAACCCAAGGCTCTCCGATTTGTTGTTAAGCCTCATCTCACCTGGGGATGATTTGGAGTAGGAGCCCTTCGCTTGTGGCTGGAAGCTCCAGCCAAGCTCTTCACTTGGTGTCACTCTTTGCGTTGCATGACCCGTCTGTCAACCTTCGCCGTTGCATTTACCCCTCCAGCTAGAAGCAGCCGTTCTCCTTCATTCTGGCACAGCCACCGCACAGCCCCCTTACCGCCGCCATCCGCACAGCCACCCTCTCCCCGCCACCCTCTCACCACCACCCACGTCACCATCACCCTCTCGCCTTCGCCCTCTCACCGTCGCTCTCTCACCGCCGCCCTCTCACCGCCATCTTGTCGGAACTATCAAGAGTTGGTTTCTGTTGTATTCCTCGTAATTGCCTCAGCAGCTCATGTCCACTATATGACCGCCATTATGTTTTATTACCCCATTATATTGCTTCAATAATGCATATGCATATTGATTTTATGATTAACACTGAACTCTTTCTTCCTGTAGAGATATATACAAGCACAATACATTGGCAGCGACTCTACAGCATGCAGTACAAGGCTCACACTACAAACTCTACTACTCACTATCAAGACTAAACGCATCAATGTAGAACTTAAAGCGCTTCTTCTCCTCCTCCCTATCCAGCAGCGTATCTTCCCACTTGTAGTGGTGGCGAGGCCTCTTCTCCTGAGGAGGTGGTCAGGGAAAGGGAGGGATGGCAAGAGATGAGATGAGATGGGATGACGTAGATACGAGTGCGTGGGTGTTAACAGCCGTATCCAGCAGCGTATCCTCCCACTCGCAGTGAGCGAGGCCTCCTCCTAAAAGGGTCAATAGGTGGGGGTAGATACCGTAGTAGGACACGCATTGACGTGCCTTGGCACATCTTCTCCCTCCCACCCTCCCCTCCTCACCTTGGAGTTGGCAGCCAGGTAGGCACGCATCTTATCCGCCACATCATCGTCCAGCTGGCGCTTGAGCAGGTCGCGGTAGATGCGGCGCACTGTGGCCATCGGATCGGACACCAGGTCATTGTAGCGCACATCAACGGCCTGAGATTGCCACATCAGCGTGTCGGCACTGCCAGCTGCAGGCAGCTTGTTACTGTCGGTGCTGCCATTGCTGGCATTGCTGCTGATGCGCTTGTTGCTACCGTCGCTTAAGTTGCCATTGTTGCCATTGCTCATGCTGCCATTGCTGCTGTTGCTCTTGTTGCTGCTGGTGAAACCAGTAGGGAAAGAACCACCGCTCCTGCTCCCATTACTGGTAACAATGCTCTCACTGCCCCCCACCTCATCTCCCACCTCCTCCTCTCCCTTTGTCACTGTCACAAACCCATTCGATCCTGCCTTCTCTTCCTCCTTCCCCTCTACATTCCTCAGAGGCGCCGCTCCCTCCCTCTCTGCATATGCCCCTTCAATCCCTCTCAGCCGAATCATCTCAGCCAATGCGTGTGCGACATTTGGCACCCAGTCCCTGGAGATCTGGCATGAGAATGGCCAGAAGGGGGCGCGTGGGGAGGGGGGTTTTGGGGGAAAGGGGAGGGGGGAGGGAGGGAGAGGGGGAAGGGTGGGGGAACAAAAGACAAGAGGAGGGAACCAGAAACAGGGGTTTGAGACTCCCACAACTTTCCAGCCAATACGCGTGCAACACTTGGCACCCAAGCCCTTGAGAAACGGAAAAGAGAGAAGGGGAAGGAAAGGGAGAGGGCTGGGGCAGAAGGGAAAGGGAGAGCGAAAGAGGAGAGGAAGGATGAGCGAGGGTGAGAACATGGGGGGAGGAGGAGGTTCAGGAGAAGTGGGTTTGAGTTGAGGCCTGTAAGTAGCAACGCTACAGTCCATTTCCTACGTTTGTTGCAATGCCAAGTGCAGGCCAGGACTTGAGCCCACCACCCCACTGTTGTCGCACTGTTGTCGCATCGCAACTGCAATCCTGACCATTTAGTCGACTAAAAAACAACTGCAATCACACCAAGACTTGCGCCTCACCTCTGCTGTGTCCACATGATCTGAGTGAATGCTCCTTATCCCCTTTATAAGGCTGTGCGCCGATGCCAACACTGTCAATGGGTTCCTGGATAGACAATCAGCCAAGCATAGAAAGAGAACGGTATAGGATTTAAGTAAGTGCTCTCTATCCCCCTTACAGGACTGCAGCTGCTTCCCCTACCCCCAACCCCACCTCTCACACCTACGAGTGAATACAAGCATTGTGTCGGGAAGAGCAGCCATGAGGAAGAAGAGGTGGGCAGCCATGACCCTGGCACTTGAGCAGCCAGACCTTTGCTTGAAGACTCCCTACCCTCCCACTTTCCTCCCCAATTCCACCATATCCCACCCTCCTACTCACCTGTGTGTGAAGATCAGCTCGGCGTCGGGGAAAGCGGCCATAAGAGAAGGCAGGGAGAAGAGGTGGGCTGGGCACTTCAACAACCAGCGTTCCGCTTTGGGACCTTTCCACTGAAGGTACTGCAGCTGCCAGCGCAGGAAGCGGTAGGTGGGGGTGAGGTCTGACGTGAGGTACCAGTCGAAGTAGGTGGGGATGTTGAAATGGATGGTGGGGAACGCGAAGGAGGTGAAGTCGTACCTGAGAGGATGGGAGGGTAGGGGAGGGGAGGGGAGGGGAGGGGATGTGAGGGAGGGAGAAGCGAAGGAGGGAAAGTCAACCTGTTTGGGAAACGGGAGGGAGGCGGGGGTGTGAGTGGGGGGATTGATAAGGAAAAGGCATTAACGAGGATGGTAATATAGGGAATGACAACGGAAGTGATAAGAGGGAGGGGGGAGTGACAAATGAGGGGAAAAAGCAACGGAATTACTGCTACTCAGATGATGGGTCCCATCCCATGTACTCGCGTTGTAAGGGAATCACAAGAGGGGTTGGTTGCTACTCACATCATGAGCCCCATGCATTCCTGTGGCCCCGTTGCTGTCACAGGGTGTAACGCCTGCGAAGGGGATAGGGAGGTGGGGAGGGGAGCGCCATGGAAGTGAGTGAGAGAGTGAGAGAGAAGGGGAGTGAGTGTGCATGAGAAAGCTTGCACATGAAACCGATTCAGCCGCCTCGGAATTAAGCTGGGAAGGCAAGCCCCTGTCTCGCCAAACTCCTATCAGTAGCATAGCAAGCAGGTGGTGCCTAGGGGAGGGTGCGTGTGGTGTATGTATGATGGATGATCTCTCATCCATGTGGGGGGCGAGCGAGCAAACAATCGCCTTTGCACAGCACCCTGGGAAGTAGCTAGATTAGCAGTGCGCAGCCCCTTTCTAAATAAGGCCTCTCTGCTTGTCGATCCTGTGATCAGTAGTATAGCAGGTGGCGTCCAGGGGAGGGTGCATCTGGTGCTGTACCCACCTGTAAAATCCCAGCACCCACCTGGAATGTAGGCAGCAGCGCAGAGACCCCCTCCAAGAACGCCTGTGTCTCCCCAATCCTCTTATCCGTGTCGTAGCAGGTTTTATCCGGGGGAGGGTGCATGTGGTGCACCTCCCATGTGAGGGGCGAGCGGAAGAGAGAGTCGTCGAGGGCGAGCAGGTTGAAAAGGAACGTGGTGCCCGTGCGCGGCAGGCCCACTATGAACACTGGAGCCTGCTTATAAGGGGGATGAAGAGTGGATAGGAAAAGAGAGACGAGGGGGGGGGAGGGGGTGGTAATCAGAAGGGAGTGGAGATTGAAGAGGAGAGGAGCGTGGTGCCAGTGCGAGGCAGACCCACGATGAACACTGGAGCCTGCTTATAAGGGGGATAAAGAGGGGCGGAGCAAAGAGCCATAAGCAAGGAAGAGAAGGTTGATGTGAAAAACGTGACAAAGAGCAATTTCCACCCCCTCACTCCCTCACTCTCACTCCCTCACTCCACCCCATCACTCCCTCACTCCCTCTCCTTCACCCACTCACTCGTTCACACCCACCTTTATCTTCTCCTTCTCTATCTCGGGGTGTCGCTTCCTCGTGTCCTCCAACTGCAGGCGATAGCGCAGCAGGCGCTGGGAGGGGGAGGGGAAGGGGGTGGTGGCATGGTGGTGGTGGTAGGGGGCGGGGGGGCGGGGGGTTGGTAACGCCTATTAGTGGCGCTTCCTCGTGAGCTGCAGCAGACACCGCAGCAGACGCTGTGAGGGAGAGGAGAGGTGGTGGCATGGGGGAGTGGGGCAGGGGGGGAGTGGGGCAGGGGGGAGTGGGGCAGGGGGGAGTGGGGCGGGGACAGAGAGAGGTGGGAAAGAGGAAAGCAGGACCAAGGGGAGAGGGCGAGGGTGTGCGCGAAGGGGGGGGGGGGGGGAGGGGGGGAGGGGGGGGGCTGTTTATGTCGTCTCCTGGCGTCCTCCAATTGCAGGTGAAACCGCAGCAGACGCTGTAGGGGGGACAAAGGAAAAGGAGGCATGGTGGGGGCGAGGCAGAGACAGAGAGGGAGGAAGGAAAGAGAATGAGGGGAAACGGGCGGGTGAGTGGGTGGGGGGGTGGGTGAGCGGGTGGGTGGATGGGTGGGTGAGTGGGTGGGGGCGGATGGTGGGAGGAAGACAATCAGGGAAGGGGGGAAGGGGGGGGGTGGGGGAGGGGATGGCGGCAATAGTGGGGGCAAGGGCAGAGAGAGAGAGGCAGGAGAGCACTGGCACGAATGATCAATTTACTCATGTGCATCATTTACTGTACATGCACTGTACATGCACTGTACCTGTACATCGTTCCATATAAGAATCCTCCCGAACGCGCTAAGCCGCGCTTCCTCCTCCAGCCCCTTCAATAGAAGCCGCAGCGGCGCCAGAAACGAGCCCTCGCCATAGTCACGCAGCCCGGTGGCCTTGTACGCGGCGCGCAGCACGGCGCGTTCCTCTAACGGGAGCAGCCACTGCAGCAGGCGCGTCGCGAGCGGCGGGAGGAGGAGGAAGCCGCAGATGGCGTCGACGAAACGCGTGGCGAAGTTGACGAAACGGGAGAAGAGCGGCAGGAGGTAACGACGCATGGCGAAGGCTCGCGAAGGGTGATGGTGATAAGAACCACAGAGGGATGCCGAAGTTGTCCCTCAGTTGCAACGGCCTCAGGCCGCTGCCTCGCAAACGACTGTGCGTGACGATGCGAGCTGCGACGAGACCTGCGACGAGAGCTGCGACGAGAGCTGCGACGAGAGCTGCGACTAGAGCTGCGACGGCACGTTAGGAGACTGAGAGGCTGCCACCTAGCTGCCGGCGCTTAGAAAACAGAGCGCGAGCAAGCGCAGAGGAACGCCGGGTTCCAGCCTCCGGTAACACGGAATCTAGCTTCTGGCTGCACGCCCGCCGGCTTTTGTACGAGGTGACTCTCCTGAGTCGACTCAAAAGTAGCCTCTGATAAGAGGGGTCCCTCCGAATGCCTGCACGCCCCCCAGCTTTTCTACGCCTCCGAACCGAACCGAACCAGCTCCGCCGCACGCACCCGTGACCATCCATTGGTCGCGGAAGAATAAGCTCCACGGGTAACCGTATTCCGTTTCGGCACGGCCGCGGTGTCCTTCGTAGATATCGCCAGGCGCGGAGGGTAACCCGCCTCAATCGCCGGCAGCGAGGCTCGATCGCCACGTGGCCTATGGCCTCGGCTCTAAGGCCTTCGGCTTCACGCCTCGGCCATGCGTGGGCGGTTTTTGAGAATTGCGGCTCCGAACCGTAGGGATTCGTGGCTCGGCCATGCGGAGACGAGCCAACATTGATAGGAACGGTAGGGCAAGACGGCTTTGACAACCATCGCTAACCATGCGATCTCGTTACGATGTGAAGGGACTTTCGCTTCGACGAGGCGCTGGCGATTGGCGACGCGATTAAGAATGGGCTGACGAGGAGAGTTGCGGTGCGGGCACAAGCGTGCATGGCCGCAGCTGCGTCGGATTCGAATCGCAAGCAGGCGTGGACTGTCGGCCGAGTGGAATTCGTCGCGGCTTGAAGGCAGGGTAGAAACATTCGCGGCTCGACGCAGGCCATGCAGCAGCATGCACGCATCGGGGTCGACAGGCGAGCATGGCCCGACTAAAACCGAGGAGCAATCCAAAACCGAGGAGCAATCCAAAACCGAGGAGCAATCCAAAACCGAGGAGCAATCCAAAACCGAGAAGCAATCCAAAACCGAATCGGATGGGTATCTTTGATGTCATCAAACTTCTGAACGCCATCCGATTCGCGAGGTCCATTGTGGTTCTCCCTCTCAAGTGACGCAACCTAGATTCTGGCACTTCCCCCAGAGGATGCTTCCAACACCTTTTTGTAGGGTGCTGCTGTTTGGAGCTCTAGGTTCTAGCGGGTTTGTCCGCGTTACAAACTGTACTCAATCGGCAGAAACGAGCTTGTTAGTACAAGTCACGCGGCTGAGGGGAATTTGAGAGGAACATATGCATGTGCAGATGCTTCTATGACAACCACTCATATCACCCAAACTAGTTTACTTTTAGTGAAAAGCAGATCAGTATGATAACACGCAACACAAACCTCACCGTCTCAATTTATCAATAAGACTAGGGTCATGGAAATGGCTACTATTCGTCCACATCACTAGGAAGAATTGCAATGGCATCTTAATTCCAAATTGTTGATGGTAAAATATATCCCTTACCTTCCGAGGTCCAACATTTTTCCTCGGGCAGTTCTTGAATCCTGGCCGCTGTTTAAAAATAGCTGAACCCTTCACAACACCCAGGTCGTTGTTGCCATAATTGATGAATTTCCCCGAGAGAGAAGTAACATTAATGTGCCGATGCGTGTTGAACTTGGGCGCATTGGGTAACTTCTCGCAGTAACGATAATTCATATCCGCATCTTGCACATCAACCAAAACCAGGTCGATGTAATTATTTGTGGGCAGCCCGCTGCACTTGCCTGTCTCCGAGCCCTTCAAGGTGCCCGGCGCATTTGTGTTACACGAAACCCCATTAATCGTAGTCTCGTTACAAATGGTCTTCATCCAAGGCCATTTCTGGAAGACAGGAAATACAGTACGGGGGAGAGAAACAAAAACAAAAATAATTACGGAAAGCAGGGTCAACGTAAGTGTGAAACAGAGACACAATTGAATCGTCACACTTGGCATGCACACGGTCTCGAAATATTACTGAGTTGGCTTAAAAAGGGGACACAACCCACCTGCTGAAACACAGCAGTGTTGTAGTACTTGGCGCGCATGCGGTCCCAGAAGTTGCCGGGGTCTTTGAGGCAGTTGCAAACTGTAGCAGTGAGGCACGTGCACCAGCCAGGCGTGTGCACCGTGCGCTTCATCACCACGTGCTCGATGCGGTTCCTGGGGAGTGAAGAACGAGAGCGAGAAACTGAGCATTGTGCAGCGGAAGACAGAACACCACGGCCCATCAAACCGTGCACCAGCTTGGCATGTCTCTGTGTGTTGCATCACCACGTGCTCAATGCGGCCCCTGGGAGAGTGAACGGGTTATAAACACTCATCACCACGGACCCTTGAAGGAAATGTGTTTGTCTCTAGGGTTTAGGGTTTGAGTTTACGGTCCAGCAGAGTTCAAGGTTGGGCTACACAAACTTGGTTCGACTCCTCTAACTTTGTAGTTGGTTCCCAAGTTGCCTCGCCTCCTGCTCCTGTGCTTTCTTCTCCTGCCTTGCAACCGGTTTGGCTCCTCAAGCTTATCATTATGCTCCATAGTCAATTAACCAGACACCATACCAATGCGTGTTCTCTTCTGAACTCAGCATTCTAGACTGTTTTGTTTCGCCTTACCCCGCATCATTGCTGACTCACCATTTCCCATTGTTGACTCACCACTTCCCATTGCTGACTCACGACTTCCCATTGTTGACTCACCACCTCCCATTGCTGACTCACCACCTCCCATTGCTGACTCACCACTTCCCATTGTTGACTTTCATGCCATCCGCCGTGTCGATACAAGCCCCTCCGCGTATAGTCACACCCGAGCTGGCATAGTCCAAATAGTAGCAGTGGTCGCCCCCTATGATGTAGTTGCACTCCGCCAGGTTACCCGGGTTAATCCAGTGCAACACGAAGTATATCCCTGTGGCGTCACCCCCTCCTGTTAGGTTGCGACCCGCGGCTACGATTAAGTTGTTGGAAATGGTGCTCAGCATGCAGTCACCCTGACGACGGGAAGGAGGAAAGGGGGGAAATGGGGGGGAAATGGGGGGGGAATGGGGGGGAATGGGGGGAATGGGGGGGAATGGGGGGAATGGGGGGAAGTGTTGGGGGGGGGGGGAGAGAAACGGGGAGAAAGGGCTGTGACCCGACAATACCGTTGTTGGAATGGTGCTCGGCATGCATTCAACCTGGGGGGAGTGGGAAGAGGGGGAGGGCAAGAGATGGCAGGGTGGATAGAAGTGCTTCCGACCCGACCCGACCCGCTGCTCCAATCAGGTTGCTGGAATCGAGCTCCGCATGCAGTCACCCTGGCATTGGGGGAAGAGGAGAGGGGATGAGGGGTGGGATGAGGGGTGGGATGAGGGATGGGCCTTGCAATAGACCATTCACCACAGCCAGGCTGTTGGAAATGGTACTCCGCCTGCAGTCACCCTGACGTTAGGAGGAAGGGGGGAAAATGGGGATGGGGGGGAGATGGGGGGGAGATGGGGGGGAGATGGGAGGGAGATGGGAGGGAGATGGGGGAAAAAAAGGATTGTGGCCCACTGCTACAATCACGATGTTGGAAATGGTGCTCAGCACGCAGCCAGATATCCCCCTTACTTTCCCCACCCACGAGCGCCCCATGTTGCTTCCCCCAAACACCCACCTGCGAGTGCACCATGTTGCTTCCCCCAAACACCCACCTGCGAGTGCACCATGTTGCTTCCCCCAAACACCCACCTGCGAGTGCACCATGTTGCTTCCCCCAAACACCCACCTGCGAGTGCACCATGTTGCTTCCCCCAAACACCCACCTGCGAGTGCACCATGTTGCCGCACATGATTGCTGCAAACACAAAGTCGTGCACGTGATTGCTCCTGACCACTGCTCCCACCGTGCCAAACTCAAGCAGCACAGGGACGAATGCTCCTGGGAGGACGGACGGGGGAAAGAGGCAAGACGGAGGGAGAGGGAGGCGGAGGGAGTGAGTGAGTGATCGGGAGAAAGAGGTGGATTACGCTCGTGCAGTGAGTAATCGGGCCATCAAGCAGTACTGCATCTGGTTGTTGTCAGCCACTGCTCCCACCGTGCCAGCCAAACTCAAGCAGCACACGGATGAATGGGCAAACAAGCAAGCTAGCAAGCAAGGAACGTACCATAGATTTCATTATTGGTGATGTACACGTGGCAGCGTAGCAGCAAGGGCCCGTACCCCGACAGCATGACCCGGATAACACCATTCCCCCTCTCCCCATCTTGCACGGCTGTCATCTTCATGTTGTCGATGCGGCTGTGCATGGCTCGAACGATATCTACTCGTCCAAAGGTGTAGCCCTGGGGGGGGGAGGGTGTGGGGGGTTGGGGGAGGTGGGGGAAAGAGAGAAAATGCATAAATAGCTCCGGTCCCCGGGCATCCCACCTGAGCTATTGACAGCCATGCAGGGTGGGATGCCCGGGGACCCCCGGCTGTCAATCTGCTTGAGTCTATGTGGCCGTGCATGGTGCGCACGATATCTACCCTGCTGACAGTGTCGCCCTGGGAGAGGGGAGAGGGGAGAGGGGATAAGTGAGAATGCATACACCACCCCTGGCATCCGATCTTGCACAGCTGGCACCCGCATGCATACGGCTGCGCATGGCTTGTAAGATGCCTACCCTGGGATTGATAGGTGTGACCCTGAAGGGTTTGAAGGAGTGGGGGGGGATCCTCAGGGGTTCATTGTGGCTGGCTGGCTGTAAACCATTCGTACTATGGCAAATGTAAACACCTAGTGCCCGTAGTGCCTGCTCCCATATATCATTCGCGTTTGTACTCGTTATTAGCAGACCACCTTGATAATGTGAACGCCATAGGAACGGAACATGTGGATGAGAGGACACAGAGCGTACGTGCCCCTACTGTCTGCTCACACTTATTACTAGTCGTTGTACTCGTTATTAGCAGGCTCAGCTCACCTTGACGATCTGAATGTACCGGCCTTTGTACTCGTTACTGATAGACTCTCACCTTCACAATCTGAATGCCGTAGGAGCGGTGGACGTGGATGAGAGGGCAGATGATGTCCGTTCCCACATCAGGGATCTCCCTGGGGCATGCAGGTGAGCTGGAGCGGAAAGGCTGTGACATCTGTGGGGGGGCGAGATGAGAAGCAAGCAAGTCAAAGGCCCAAAGGTTACTAATCAGGGCAGAAAGGCTAGTCACGTAAGGGGTCTCCTTAGGGCAGGCGGCAGAATTGGAGCGGAATGGCTGTGAAACCTGTGGGGGGAAGGAGGTGCGGGCAATGCATAGACTAAATGTACATTGGTGAGAGGAAAAGTCCTTGATGTTGGATCTCCAAAGAATGGCAGCATTGAGGACTACTAGGTGTTGGGGACTACTAGGTGTTGGGGACTACTAGGTGTTGGGGACTACTAGGTGTTGGGGACTACTAGGTGTTGGGGACTTCTCCCATCAGGATGCCCAGGTGAGAAGGTGCAGAATGGCTGGGACATCTGCGGTGGGTGGGGGAATGCACGCAAGGCATAGACCACAGATATATCTGATATCAGTGAGAGAAGCAGCCGTTGAAATGCGCAGGTGAGTAGGGGCAGAATGGCTGGAGATCTGAGAGGGGTGTGGGAAATTGGAGAGGGCAGGCAGGATCACATTGCTGGTGCTATTTTTGAGGTTAAAAAAAAAAAAAAAGAATCCACTCTATCACATCGCTGGTGTTTCAAATCCGCTAAGGGAGAGAGGGAGGAGAGGGAGCGGGAGAGGATACCTGCGCACTGACCATCCCTTTCCCTCTGCATTCTCCCACACCCCTCTCACATGTCGTTAGCCATGATCTCAAGGTAAAGACCCTAGAACATCTTCATCAGTGCAGAATGAAAGATACCTGCGCACTGACCATCCCTTTCCTTCTGCATTCTCCCACACCCCTCACATGCCCCGGCCATTCTGCTTGCGCCAAACCACGCCTTCTCACTTGCGCCACCAGCAATATCACTCAGCAGAGGCTCGTCCACTCGGTGCCCATACAGCCGGGCGCCCCTCGCTCTAAAACACTCACTCATCACACAATCACACACTCTCGCATATACTCACACACACTCACTCACCTGCATGCACTCCATGCACTCACCTCAGCAGAATACTCGATGATGTTGCTCGTATTCTGCTGAGGAACCTCAGCAGCGGCTCATCCACTTGGTGGGACGTACAGCCGGAAGCCAGGAGAGGTAGGAGAAAGAAGATAGAAAGAGACAAAGGAGGGCATAGCTGTACTCGATGCACCCACCTGCACGCGGTGCACAATGATGTTGCTCGTATTCCACACCCGCAGCAGGGGCTCGTCCACGCGGTGCACATACAGCCGGAAGCCTCTCCCCTTGGCCTTGGCGCCCGACCTCAGGATGGTGCACGCATAGGCGGGCCCCCACAGCAGCCCGCGCCTCAGAGTGACGTCGCTGCGCATCTCCAGGATGACCGTCTTGGAAGGGGGGTGGCGGATTCGCCTTTCGAAGTCTGCTTCTCTGGTCACGGGGATTAGCACCGCTGAGCTGATGGGGGAGCACGCTGGGCCTGAACGGGGGGGGGAGGAGGGAATGGGGGAAGGGGGATGAGGGAGAGGGAGAGGGAGAGGGAGAGTCTCCTCACTGCGCAGCTCCAGGATGACTGACTTGGAGGGGGGGTGGCTCGTGCGCTTGCTCGAGTGGGCTTCTCTGGTCACGGGGATGAGCACGGCTGACCTGCTAGGGGAGCACGCTGGGCCTGACAGAGAAGAGGGAGGGAGAAAGGAAGGGTGTGGGGGGGAGGGGAGGAGGGGGAGAGCGACGTCGCTACACAGCTCCAGGATGACCGTCCTGGAAGGGGGGTTGGCTCAAGGGGGGTTGGCTCATTGGCTCATTGGCTTATTGGCTCATTGGCTCATTCGCCTTCGAAGTCGGCTTCCTTGGACACGCGGATGAGCACGGCCGAGGTGTTAGGCAAGCACACTGGGCCTGAAAGGGGGGAGAGGGGGGAGGGGGAGTGGAGGGGGAAAAGGGAGGAAGAATCACGCCTCTCTATTGCTCTTCCAAGCCACTAAAGCCACTCAGCCTGCTCCGTCCACAGAGGCAACAGCGGCAACTGGGACCACTGGCCCACAGGGGCCACAGGGGCCACAGGGGCCACAGGGGCCACAGGGGCCACTGAGGTCACTGGGGCCACTGAGTCAACACGGGAATGTTGCGGATCCTTGAACGGTTTCATCCGGTTGTTCCAACCAACGAATTCGATGGGAATAGCGCCTCTAAAGCCCACCTGATTTCCATCTGTGGGTCCGCTGAAGCCTCTCAGCCCACGGCGGCAACTGAGCCCACGGGGGCCACTGCGGCCACTGAGTCGGGGTCACTGAAGCAAGGCCAGAGGGGTCAGGCTCGGCAGCAGGGTCAGGCTCGGCAGCAGGGTCAGGCTCGTTACGAGGGTCTGGCTCCGCAGCAAGCAGCGCCGGAGGCAGGGGACGAGCCTCTTGTGCCACGGGCTCCTCCAACCAGGCCATTGTTGCAGGCTCGGACTGAACCTGCTGCCTCAGCCAGGGATTCATCCACCCCTGAGGCTCGGCCCATGGCAGAGATTGAGTGTGGGACTCTGCCTGTGATGTTGTATCATGTAACCGTGACTGTGACTGTAACCGCGACTTGATATAATGTGAATGTGCCTGGTGTGACAAAAATGAAGGTGACTCTGAGTGTATTTGCACAGCTTGCGAATGGCCTGGAGCGCGTCTGTGACCGTCCTCGTTAGTGGTTGAACTCGCTTCGGTATTAGTCCGATGCAGGTGGTACAGTGATGGGTGACGGGATGGCTCGTGAAATGCGTCCCTGTGAGCTGAGACAAGGGCAAAGACGGATCGAGGGCACAGACAGGAGAAGGGCACGCATTGGGATTCAGATGAGAGTGGAAGAAGCAAGAGTGAGCAGGGATCATTTGCACAGGCTGTTGCTGGGGACGAAGGGAGCAAGGAGCAGGAGAGAGCAACGGGGACGAAGGGTGAGCACAGGCTGTATACGGAGACAACGGGAGAAAGAAAGGGGGGGGGGGGGGGGAATCACTCGCTCCGGGAACTTAATTTTCCAGCGATATTGACACGCCTTTGCTCGGACAATACTGTTACGATCCAGACGAACAATTTCGCTAAATTTCGCCAGGAGCACCCCCTACTACATTCTACCTGCACTCTGTCACCAGTCCCTGGCCATTCACCTGCGACTCGGGCCAACTGCAGAAACGGCTGTTGATCCAACAGGAAACAAAGCACAGTGACGATAACGAGCGGACCCAGCTTCCTCCACGGCTGCAAGCTGAGTTCCAATAACGAAGCGCGTACTAACGAAGGCCTTCGCCTCCTGCGAGCCAGGCGACGATTGGCACGTCCTGTGTTACCAGACGAATCCTCATCATCCGCCCCCTGGATCGAACTTAAAGTCGCGTCGTGGTGAGATCGTTCCCGCCCAGGCGCCATGCTCAGCTGTGCTGTGCTGCGCTGTGCGGTGCTGTGCTGTGCTGTGCTGTGCTGTGCTGTGTTGTGCTATGCTGTGCTGTGCTTTTCTGAATCACCTTGTGCTCAAATGAAAATATATGTTCGTCCTTCAACAACGAATTTCGAATCGGAAGTTCCTAATCGACGGAGCAACCAGTCGAATCCAAAGCAGGTTTTATCCGTAATCGCTTCAAGTGATGTTTCGAACCCAGCTATCGCGGAAGCACTGTACTGGTATGCTAGAACCATCACTACGAAGTGAGCATCAGTCAGAACGTACGGAAACACGCGTCGCACGGTATCCGCCTAGGAGTTCAAGCATACCTCAAATGAGATCGGCAACCCTAGCCTTGAACACGCATCGAATGTGGTCGAGAATAGAGATTATTCGTCCTTGGACGAGATTACCGCTGCACGCGACATACATGCTGGCCAGCAACAGACGAGAGTTCACGCTTTGGTTGCGCATTCGTGAAACGGAATGGCTGTCGGTGTCGGGCGCATTCCCGCTGGAGTGCGGAAGAACGAGTACAGTAGCAGCGCCCATAGGTGTCGAGCTGGCATGGCATGTGGGAATGGCGAACATCCAGCAAGAACGAATTCCGTTGGATAGCATATGAAGGCGCCATTGCATACTGTACGCTATCTCACCACTAGGCAAGCAAAGCAAGTCCTCCTTGCAAGCAGGCAAGCGAGCACAGACAGAAAGAGCAACCTCCTCAGCATGCGGAGCGAGTGTTACCAGGAGTACTAGATCTACCTTCCTGGGCGAGTGTAGCAGCGAGGATACGGTACCACGAAGGAATGTAACAGTGGTGTTACGCAGGAACGGTTTTCTCGCTCCTTGCTCTCGCGGTGGTGAACGAAATGAAGGACTTTCGCGAGCGGCCTGTCCACTCCGACGCCAATACCATTCGCACGGCGACACGCGAGGTGGGCATTGGGAGGGAGGGCTGACCTGTGGCAAGCCTGTAGGTGGCAGTTTCCGGCCCAGACCAGAATCAGGGTTCACCTGCCCGGCCTGGCCTGCTCTCAAGATTTGCGCATGGACGAAACCGTGGCCAACCACACAACAACATTTGGGGGCAGAAAGCGAGTCTCACAGTGGAGGTGGTGGCTCCTTCCTCCTGTGGTTCGTTGCCAACCACCATCTGCAACACTTCTATCCTCGACACAAAGCTGCATTCGTTCAGTTCGACGTTTCAACGCGTCCATAAACATTGCATGACATTGGCAACCAGAGGCATTAGTTTATGGCTGGATCAAAAGACAACCAATACCTTCCACAACAAACCTTGTGCAAACTAAAAACAACTAAGCTTTAAGCACAAACGTAGTGTGTGGTTTGCGACCACAACACACCAACCTATCAAACATATTTTGTATATGTTACAGTAGACTAGATAGGGGCATGCCTTAGTGAGTGTCAAAACCACAATGTACCCTGGTTTTCTAATCATTCTGCTACTCTAAGATGGTATCATAGTAGGTTAGGTCCACCCACCCGCTTCCGCCCTCGCCCTAGCCTAGCGCCCCGCCGTCCCCTTAGCGTGCCCCGCTGGCCTTAGCGAGCCCCGCTAGTCCTCAGAGCCTCGCCAGCCCCGTTAGCGCACCCCGTTGGTCCCTTACGCGCCCCGCCTGGCCCTAGCGCCCCGCCGGCCCATAGCGCCCCGTCGACCCCTCACGCGCCCGCCAGTCCCTTAACGCCCCTCGCGCCCCGCTGGTCCCTCCTACGCCCCGCCTGGCCCTAGCGCCCCGCCGACCCCTCGCGCGCCCGCTGGTCCCTTAGCGCACCGCCGACCCCTCGCACCCCGCTGGTCCCTTACGCGCCCCGCTGGCCCCTCGCGCTCCGCCCGGCCCTCGCGCCCCGCTGGTCCCTCCAGCGCCCTGCATGGCCCTAGCGCCCCGCCGGCCCTTAGTCTTAAAACTGAGTAATGAATGAGTAGAGAACATGGGTACAAGCATTCATATCTAAGGGTTGTACTCTCTAAGAGGTGACCCTATACAGTCTATACAAACACTAGGTATACTAATGTTTGACACACCCCCTAGACTGCATAGGGGCAATTCCTGAACAAGCAGCTCAGGGCGGCACTACTAGTCCAGCCACTGGGACAAGGGTCTAAAGACCAGTCAACTGGAGTACAGGCAAGGCAAGAACAAGACCAGGGCGACACTACTAGTCCAGCCACTGGGAGAGGACACAAGTCCAGTCTGAGTAAATATATATAAAGGGCAGTACAAAGTCAAGGCCCTAGCAAGTGAGAGGCTACAGGAACTAGACGAAGCTGTACACAGTGCCGCTGATGATCTTTAGGCGCAAGCGCCTTCGTAAAAATATCAGCCGTGTTGGCACCGGAGGCCAAGTGTACTACGCGAGCCTGGCGGCGCTGCTGTAGCTTGCGCAGGAGGAAGTGCCGCAGCTGGATATGCTTCGCTCTGCCCTCGAGTCGAGGCTCCTGACACAGGAGGATCATGGCCCTGTTGTTAGCGTACAGGACCGGGGCAGAGCTAGGCCGCTCACCTAAGTCAGTGAGCAAGAAGGTCAGCCAGCGGAGCTCCTGTGCTGCTATGGCACCGGCGTAGATCTCGGCCTCACAGCTGGACTGGGCAACAGACGAGGAGCGGGTAGCTCTCCACGAGACGGCACCTGAACCAAGGCTGAAGCAGTAGCCCTGGGAAGACCTGAGGGTCTCGGCGTCGTCTGCCCAAGAAGCGTCTGAGTGTCCAGTAAGGACCACTGGCCTGCGTCCTCCTAGCACTAAACCCATGCCCGATGTACTTGCGAGATAACGCAGAACCCTCTTAGTGGCAGACCAGTGCTGCGGTCGGTGTCTACCTGTGGCCACAAAGCGAGCCAGGATGCTGAGAGGGTATGCGAGATCTGGGCGAGTGCAAGTCATCAGGTACATGAGGCAACCCACCAGCTCTGCATAAGGACCACTGGGCTCTACTGACTCCTCAGGAACTGGAGCGGAGAGTCTGTGGTCTACAGGAAGAGGGGTGGGTTGTGCGGAGGAGAACTGAAGGCCGAACCTCTGAAGGACCTGGCGCACCAAGTGTGACTGAGTCAAAGTGATGGTGCGCGCTGCCCTATCCTTGGAGATCTGCAAACCAAGGTAACGGCGCATTTCTCCAAGGTCAGTGCAAGTGTGTCTCTTCAGCAGCTCTGCCTTCACCGAGGCCAGTGCGTCCCTGTCTGCTGTGGCAAAGACCAGATCATTCACGTAAACAAGGATGTAGAACGGAGTCTGGCCAGCACGAACGAAGAGTGAGGGGTCTGCGGAGGACGGAAAGAAGTGCAGGTCAGCAAGCATAGCACGCAGCGTATCGTGCCACTCACAGGGAGCCTGCCGCAGGCCGTAGACGGGACGCCGCAAGAGCCACTGGGTCCTTGGAGGGAAGGTGCCAGTGAAGCCCTGAGGGCGACGCAGGTAGACTTGCTCGTGTAGGCTGCCCTGAAGGAAGGCAGTGGAGAAGTCGAGGGAGTGAAGCTCGTAGTCACGCTGAGCAGCTAGGTGTAACAAAACCCGAAGAGTAGTCATCTTCGGGGTCGGAGCGGTAGGAGTCGGTAGGACGGGCGCAGGAGCCGGTAGGACAGGCGAAGGGGCCGCTAGGACGGGCGTGGGGCCGGCTAGGACGGGCGCGGGGGCCGGTAGGACGGGCGTGGGGGCCGCTAGGACGGGCGCGGGGCCGGTAAGGACGGGCACGGGGGCCGGTAGGACGGGCGCGGGGGCCACTAGGACGGGCGCGGGGCCGACTAGGACGGGCGCGGGAGCCGTGAGGATGGGCGCGGGGCCAGCTAGGATGGGCGCGGGGGCCGTTACGACGGGCGCGGAGGCCACTAGGACGGGCACGGGGGCCCGTAGGACGGGCGCGGGGGCCACTAGGACGGGTGGGGGGCCGACTAGGACGGGCACGGGAGCCGTGAGGACGGGCGCGGGGCCAGCTAGGACGGGCGCGGCGGGCGCAGCTAGGACGGGCGCGCGGGCGCGTCTAGGACGGGTGCGGGGTCGACTAGGACGGGCGCGGGGGAGGCTAGGGCCTAGGGCGGAAGCATGGGCGGGCGGCGGGACCTACCTACTGCTGATACCATCTTAAAACTGAGTAATGAATGAGTAGAGAACATGGGTACAGGCATTCATATCTAAGGATTGTACTCTCTAAGAGGTGACCCTATACAGTCTATACAAACACTAGATATACTAATGTTTGACACTTAGCGCCCCCCCGACCCCTCGCGCGCCCCCTCCGGTCCCTTAGCGCCTTGCCGGCCCCTTCGAGCCTCGCCGGCCCGTCGCGCTCTACTCGCCCCATGAGCCCCAGCCGGTCCTTCTACGTGCCACTAGCCCTGTGAGCCCCGCTCGACCTTCCGCTCGGTCTTCCAGCCGGGAGTTCTTGCTAGAATAGAAGAATAATTTGAAACAAATGAGTACAAGGGAGATATAGGGTTGGAATTGTACCCTCTAAGAACACAAACCTATCCAGCCTATAACTTATACATACAAATATATGTATAAGTTGACACACCCCCTGGGCTAGATAAGGGGCAGTGCTGAGAAAGAAACACACAACTCAGGGTGGCACTACCAGTCCAACCTCTGAGGCAGGGGTCCGAAGACCTGTCAGCAAGAGTACAAACAAGAAAAGAGCAAACCAGGGCGGCACTACTAGTCCGGCTACTGGAAGCGAAGCCACAAGGCTAGTCAGAAAGGTAGATATAAAGAGGAGTACACAATCAAGGTCCTAGCAAGTGAGTAGCTACAGGAACTAGACCAAGCTGCAAACAGTGTCGCTGATGATCGTTAGGCGAAAGTGCCTTGTGTTGGCACCGGAGGCCAAGCGTACTACGCGGACCTGGCGGCGGTGTTGTAGCTCGCGCAGGAGGAAGTACCGCAGCTGGATGTGCTTTGCTCTGCCCTCAAGTCGAGGCTCCTGACACAAGAGGATAATGGCCCTGTTGTCAGCGTACAGAACCGGGGCAGAGCTAGGCCGCTCACCTAAGTCAGTGAGCAAGAAGGTCAGCCAGCTGAGCTCCTGTGCCGCCATGGCACCGGCGTAGATCTCAGCATTACAGCTAGACTGGGCAACAGACCGTTGTGCCGCTGTGTCGCTGTGTTGCTCTGTAGCTGTGCAGCTGTGTCGCTGTGCCGCCGTAGATTTGTGTCACTGAGGTTGCACGATGGCGGACTCTGTACTCCGCCTAGACGCGGAGGGGCACGCGATCAACTTCATCGCTTGGCTTATCGATCTACGACGTCACCTTACTGGTCAACGCCAGGATGGGCACTCCTTGGCTGTGCATGTTGATGGCAAGCTTCCCCGCCCCCTCGCACATGATCCCCTCCCTGCTGACCGTACCACTGCTCAGCGTGAGGCCTTTTCTGCTTTTGCGCTTGCTCGCGCTGTCTGAGATTCCCGCGATGCCGTAGCGCATCTAGCCATTAGTCATGCTCTTCCCCTATCTGAGTGTCCGCGCTTCACTGCTGTCGCGAATGCCAAGGATTTCTTAGATGCAGTCGTTGAGCGCTACTCCACGCCCACCTCCGCCTTTGCTGGCCACCTGATACTCCCCATGCTGTTCCCTGATCCTGCCACTTTCCCCACTGTAGCTGACCTAGCCACTCACCTCCGTGCACTAGAGGCTAGCTATCATACCGCTAGCAC